TTGAAAATCTTCTATGTAGGCAATATAACATATTTTAAAATGGTGCTGCTGGATAATAATTCTCCTCAATTTTTCTACAATTTTATAGTCTTAATAATAATATTTTTAATACATTTTACAGTGGATATAAATCACACTCGCTACATAGCTATGCACCCCACTTTAGTAAAGTGGTACACCTTCACCATTTAATATATTTTTAGGTCTCATCTTCGAACAGCTGTTTTCGCATACGAGATCCTCTTATTTACACACGAAGAAGCGTACTCTCGAGGTAGATGTACCGTTTAATAGCCTAAATCGCCCGCGGGTGTCGAAAGTTTAGCCGAGGTTTCGTTCGAAAACGGAACTTCACCTTCGAGCTTCCACCATTGCCGCGTTCCTTGTTCCGTTTCTTCTCTTTTCATCTTCGAATGGGTTTAATCAGATTCGATCGAGGGAGAAAGTTCTAGCTGTATATCCTCCAAAGGATGGTCCACAATTGGAGCAACGATCTTCAATATATTTTTTTTTTTTTCGCAAAAGTATTCCAGAAGATAGTTCCATGATTTTTGAGAAATTTATGAGATCTCTAGATTCTTCTGGTTTTGGGTCAAGGTTCGAAATAGCTAATCCTTTGTACGCTTTATTGCAAGCGTTTTGAGAACATTTCTTCGCTTTTTTGGGGTCTAGGCTAGCTCTAAATTCGCTATTTCAGTGTTTCGAGGTCATTTTTTAATATTTCGAGTTACAGAATTCTTGTATGAGTTTATGGAAAATTTTACCGTGGTTCTTTGATCGAAATTTTTGAATTTGACTGCCTTTTTAGTTACAGTTTATATAATTAAGAGCTGCATATGCTAATGCAATTGCAGTTATTCAATAAAGCACGTTCGATCGTAACGTGTTGAATGTGTAGCACGTTATGAATGACTCACTTTCCGGCATTAATTAACGAATACGTTGACGTTCCAATGAATTTTTATTCATACAATATTGAATGAAAAAGGTTCGAATTTAAATTTATCGTACTGGTCCATCACTGACCTCTGTAGTGGTGAACGCGATAAGTTGGCACCATTCACTTTGGATCGTCACGGTTTTGGGACCAGCTTGTTGCTTCCGGGCCAAGCTCCTCTCTTTGTAACACTTAAGACCCGAAGTTATTGGTCCTAAATTAAAATTTTATACGAACACTTTGAATATCATTACACTTTTCAATTTTAATAAATTAATAGCTTCATTAATGTTTTGTCTTGAAATATTTATAATTGGACTGATTTTACAATCCAAATTGAATCGACGTCTTGAATGTTTTATGTGTGACAGGTATATTTGGGTCATTTTGGCACTAGGTCAAGGATATGCACCTTCGCCAGGTTCGAAATCGTATCCTTTTTCTTTTTTTTTTCTTATTATTTACAGTTATTCGTTGCTGGCACATTTTATTAGAATTTTAATCACATTTGTAAATAACGTTAATTATTTTGTACGAGGGGCGAATCTAGGAGGGGTTGATAGGGGCTTACGTAAATATTTGAATAAAACTGAACGCAATTACATAATGCTTTTACTATCTTATCGCGATTTGTTAAGTTTGCAAGAAAATATTTGCGAATTATCTTTGCCCACCTTTTCACAGAATTTCAACGTCGATGATAATAGGTTTGTTTTTAGTTCGTGGAAATTTCAATTCTGAAGACTGAAATCATTATTTGAAATTACCTAATATTAATATAAAATTATTTCTTCCTTTGTTAAAATTGAGTATTTGGGATGAATTTGATAAATATTGGTTTTTTAAATTAAAGAAGTCACAAAGTCATTTCCTGCGTCCCAATTTTGACATTGTTTCCCGTTGTTCCGAGAATCTTCAAACGTGCCAATTTCAACTAGCAAAAGAAGAGAAAGAGAGGAGTCAAAGAAATACAAAGAATTTGGAACGAACAAATTTCAAGGCAACTGTACGCGTTTGTTTTTCTTCAATTAAATAATTGATATACTTATTCGTGGTATACATTGAAATCTAAAGTAGACATTCCCAGGAAAAAAAATAAACACCATTTAATCACTCTTACTACCAATTTGTGTTGATTACATGTTATTCATATAGTTACATCAACGACTTTTTTGCTTTTTGTCATCTGTCGATCGATTTAAATCCAGTTAATTATAACTTGCAGGATTTAATTTTGTTAATTGGTCGGTAATTAAATTTTCCACTTCTCATGGTAATTATTTTTTCAATTCATTATGCGAATATCTAATGTATTTTTTACACAATATTTTTCTCATTTTCTTATAATTTGAAAATAAGAAAATATTTTCTTTTTAAAAGCATATATCTTTTTTTAAAGTGAGAAAGAATAAAGTTTTCATGGTGAACCCATTGTGTTCAGACAGACCGGGGTATTATCGATGCAATTGAGCAATTAATACGATTAAGAAACAATTAAGCATGGGAGCGGATGTGAACCCCATTTCATAACTATCTGTCTATTGAATTTTCGAAACATTGTCGGACAATGTTAAAAAGGTTTCGTTGAAACGAAAAGAGAAAAAAAGATAGACAATTAATTCCATTATGATAATACTCTCTTGACGCAATCAATTGCTCTATAATGGTACGTCTGCATTTGCATTTTGCATGTAGATGTGGCGTGAGGAGGAAACCGTATGAAACCTCAATATTTTAATAATTTTTGCAATAAGGTTGTGACTTTGTATTTAGTGACACTTTACCATTGGGGCAGTAGGTATCAATATTCAATTGAAATTATGCATTCAAAGTAGACCGTATGAATCTATCTAATGAAATCTATTTATTATTTAACAATAACAAGAAATACTTATTTCATTTTAACTATTTCATTATCTGTAACTACTATTTAATAACGAATAATTATTTATTTAATTTTTACAAATATTATGTAAATTAATAGAGCTACAGAAAATTTTGTAAAATGACTTTGACCTTAAATGGTATATAAAGAAGACGTAAATCAATAGTAAAGATAGTGTCATTTTTTTTATATATGTGTATAGTATGTTTATAAAACAGATGTTTACAACGTTGATTTTTTTTCCTTCACTTGAACTGCAACCTCAAATGAAAAAAGACTATTTCATAATCGGAAATCTCGATTCTAATATTCAATTTATGAATGACAGAACTGAAACTTCAAAGTATACTAAAAAATAAAGGGGAATAAAATGTAAAGAACAGTTGTTTTACAACCGGACTACTGACCCGCTGAGAAACAGTTAGCTACACATTAACTCGAAACGAAAAACAATTAGTTCTTCGTGCTCGAAGTTATTACAAAGATAGGCGCTGCAAATATTTCAGTACAATTATCGGAACGAACAGATCCTTATTATAGTTTCTGAGGATAAGAAAGGAAAGAAACTAGCAAACCGAAGAAAAGTCACAGTTAAACATTTGTCGTACATAAACTTCCAGTGCATCGGTTAATATTGAATTTTAGCCAACTCAAGGCTTTAGATAAGTATCCGTTTTCTGGTCTCTCAGGATTACGACAGGTGCGTTTGGAAAAAATTCGAATGTGTCAAGTACTTGTAGAAGTATTGAGTGAAAAAATTGCAAATATTCTAATTTTTAAAAATTCAGGAAAAGAGGAGAAGAGAAAGTTAATTATCTTTTCTTCAGTTGCATCATTGCTATTTCAATAACAATTTTTTTTTACATCATTCAGATACGTAATTAACACATTGACAATAATTATTGGGGTTTGGTTAGGTACCAGCCATCTGAAATATAATTGAATGGAATAATTAACTCCTTTATTATGGAAAAAGAATACATAATAAGAATGTGACAATAAAAAAGTAATTACTTATAAATACTTGACGTAGGATTTTAATTGCAAGAAAAGTGCTTTATTCATTAGAAAGATCTACATTTATTTACTTATCGTATATGTCTTCATTAAATTCTTTGTTGCAGAAGCAACGATCGATTTAACAAAAACAGGTGAATGAAATAAAACAAAGGAGATAAATTTTCTTACGCGTATTTACATTGCTAAAAATTTTAGAATGAAGTTACCAATTTGTTTAATCGCGCGTAGAAAGAAGTTAGAAGCAACTTTGAAAACATCCGAAGATACTTTGCCCCAACGAAGATCATTATTCGAGTCACGTTCTTAGTACATAAAATGAAACCAATTTGAATAATAAATAAGTGTAAAAGTTTTTAAACGATCTAACTTTATTTGTCATTATCGATTTAATAGCTCAACGTCATGTTTTGTCACGGAGTTTTTCAAAGATACACGTAAATCGTTACGGTTTACGAAATTCTGTACGAAACGTTCGCCTTGAACGTCTTTAACGCGAGATTTTCTTTATTCCGGTGGTTCTTTGAAACGTCGTTTATCTGTCCAGGATCGAAGAAATCTTTGGACGAACAAGAACCGTGATTTATTTGACCGAAAAGAATGCCTCGAGTGTAACAAATTGTTACGTCGAAGTGTTTTGTAATCTTCCATGAAAAATTTACCCTTTCCTTTCTTTTTGAATCTGAATGAAAAAGTATAATTTTCTGCAATAAATTCGAGAAATATAAATCTTTATAATTATAGCCTAATAAAAGAGATGTTAAAGTTGCTAGAAATTTACTATAATTGCATTGCAAATGTTTGATAATTGATCTATTTTTCATAAGTTACAGTATTTTAATTATCTGACGTTAAGAATCCTTGCCATTTATCTAATATTTCATTATTTCTGTTATAAATAACTTCAAGTACTTTCAACGAAAATTTCTAATCAAATAAATCAGAGAATTTCAAATGAGATAGGATGAAAAATCTTCAATTGAAATGGAAAGGTAGCGAATCAATTAGAGCACCTCTGACATGGAATAAGTGTTGAATTCCTGATGGAAATCGATCAACATAATTAATTTTTACTGTTTTTTAATTTTTCCTCGTCTCTGGTTAGGAAAGAGGGGGATTTCGTCGACGCGGTTTTAAGGGGAGGCGCACAGTTAATAAGTGGGACATACGCTCTTGCATCTCGGTATTTCGTAGTGAACTCGCCATCAGGTTGGATCGATCACTAGGGGACATACTATCCGCTTCTACGAGAGACATTGCACGTTATCTCTAAACTAAAATAAATTTTAAGTGCAATTTCCGGAGGATCTATACTGATTGAATCGAGAAGAGACTCGTTAACTGTAAGTGTTCAGTTTCGTGGATTTTCAGCAAGGAATATTTAACAGTGCTTTGTATTTTTCATTATTTTGTTTATGGTGCTTATGGTGCTTGTTGGAAAATTTATTAATAATTTATTAAAATTCGATAAAAGCGGGAAAAATTCGAATATTTTACTAAAGGATGAAGTAGCATTTCAGAACTCTACATTTTTTTTATAGAAAATAATTATTCACTTGAAACCTGTCATTTGTAACATTTACGTGATAGAACCTTGATATTATCACTTGGTTTTGACAGATTTCTTCCAACATATTCATTATTTTTTTTCTAGTTTCTGCATTTATTAAGTAGCAACAAGTGGTTGTTATCAATATTATTTAAAAGTTATGCAATTATTTTCCTAAAACTTCAAACTTTAAATTAACACTTCGTGGGTTATTACATCCCTTCGTGTACCTTTTATTCAGCGTTCTCTTCAGCTTTTAAAATAAAGTTTCCCGTGGATTTATCCGGAAGATTATCTTCCGTTTGCTCGACAAAACCGAGACATTTTCTGTAGGATGTGTCGAATGTGTCTTCCTCTCGTCTCGAGCGTGTAACCAGCTATCCGCTCGGCATACTTTCTCGAGTGACAGCCCTGTTTACTAGACTGGAATTGAATCATCTCGAAAATGATACAGAAATAATTTGTATCTTCTAAAGACGGAAAACATTCACTTATTCTTTACGTCAGATACGAAAAAAAAATCACAAGTGCATATTGGTGTGACTAGGCAGGGGTCAGGATGAACCCTTCAGGATATTTGAGTATTTTTGAGGTCCAATTCTAAAATTAGAAAAAATATTTCAAATACTAGAATATTCCAAGTGATCGTTTTAATAGAAGTAAATATTTCAGTCGAGATGCGATATTGGGGGTGAATTAGCCCATTCCCAAAAACCCCTTTGCTTCTTTTCATTCATTCTCTTTTAGGTTCTTCAAGTAATCAGATACAGTATTTGCAACAATACTTCTCTGATTAATTTATTATTTAAAGGGGAACACTGTTTACGATGATTCATAATCGAGATCGATCTAATGATCTATTGTCATGATTGATAGACACAACTATTACATTTTCAAATTTACGACTCTGATATTGTTTGTTTACAGAATTCTGATTAAATACTATTTATAAATTTTCACACAATTTGACATTCTGAAATAGATACTAATTTTGCATTGTACGATGCACGCTGCAAATCAATGGGTTTAATTAACGCTGCTTGCAAATTAATACTTTAAGGTTTGAATGACAATCGTACGATGCATGCCTACTTTGAAATTGAAAGTAAATCGAATAAAAAATGATGACTGTAGAATACAAGATATACAATTTGTAAATGTAATCGTTCGAAACATGTATGCAGTGTAATTGCTCCATTTTAAACGTTTTGCAAATTTCGCAATCGTTATAACTTTTTGAATTTATCAAGGAAATGTTTTTTCTTCAGTCAACGATTCAGTAAATTGTACAATTTTCTTCTCTCTGACAATTTTCTAGCGTAAGTCAACCGTTCCATTACTTTTGCGATAAGCAGCGTTAATTAGAGAGATAAGTAGTTGTGTTCGACCAATAAAATACATAGTTCAATAGTGCTTCAAGTAACCGTTTGACCAATAAGTCAGTTTCTCTAGTCGGTCAGTTCTCAACTTTGTTTGTTTTCTATCCAGTGGATCGTGTAGGAACAAATCCAGGTTAAGGAATTAGCGAATTGCTGCAATTACGTTTGCATCTGACAATTGTGCAACGATTGCAACGAAGGACAACGCGAAACGTTTCTGAAGAAGATTTCGGAAGAACGATGACGGGGACGTTCTCGTTTATTTCGCGGTTTGTGCTTTCGACTATCTCGTGAATTTATGCGGTGTCAAATTTACAATCTTTTAGAACCATTACGCTTTTTTTTCCAATACTGTTTGCGAAAATTAATAACATCTTTTTTAGAGGAGATTTAAAAAAATAATAGAAACCATATGTTTTATCATACACGTGTTCATAATTATTTTATAAATTTTAAACATTCTGCGCGTGATTCAACGAACATTTAAATAACAAAGAATCATATATATTTTTATTCCATCCTTGCATGTTTTCATTTATACTAGTAATACTTGTTACACATTTATCAATTATTTCTTGCATGCAATTTAAATAATCCTCGTTGTTATCTATTTGTTCACTTGAAACAGTAGTTGGTAAGGCACAAAACGGCGTTGACCATAGCCTGTTGACATCATTTATACATAATTTTTCCATGAAATTGGAATTTTTTCCTGGTTCACGAACTATGTATATTAAACGACCTATTTCCAATAGCTCGTCCTCAAACTCGATCGGTTATTAATATCATGTTACATTATTTTTATTTATTTCATTCATGCATCTGTAAAGAAACAATCAAAGTATTGTTGTATTATTTATACAACGTGTTACAATATGCAATCGCTTCTTGTTGTTATTGTTTTCTTCGAAGAAACATCGAAGGGGAAAAAGAATTCTTGCCTCGTAAGTTCGAACAACGGACGTTGCGATTTTTCTTACACGACTCGCTGACGTTCGTGAAAAATGCTTGCATTCCAACGATTCTATACGAACTTGGCAAAAGAAGCTCGAAAATTGATTCGGACGTTTTGAAATGTAATCAATTAAATTAGGTAACTTTAATCGAAATTAGGCTAAATTTTATGGAAGCGAACAATTTGTTTCTTGAAATGATAATGCCAGTACAATATCTTCTGTTACGGTTTGCAAAACTTCGATATTTCATTGAACAGAACAATGAATCGTACAGCGCGTTGACCTGAGAGTTTCTCAATCGGTCATTCGATGATTACAGCAGGTTCCGTTCAAACAACTGCCCTAAATAACTGTCCATTTACCTGGCAGTTCCTTTCGGCTGTACATCAGACGAGATAGCGATGAAAAAATTCACGTGTCTTATGATTTTTCAAAGAGGTCAGCAAAAACCCGAATGAAATGGGACAAGTTTCACGAGTTACTTCGAAAACATAGAAATCTCTCTGTGCAAGTATTTGGTCTATCGAAAGCCATTTTTTTTCTTTATCGATTATCTGTCCCCCCTTTAAAGCGTCATTAATAGAGGAAACGTGCGATGCTGTGGGAACAGGATGACAGAGATATCCTGAGGTGTAGAAAACGAGAAACGTATGTGTGTACGTGTGGACCTTCTTTTTAGTTCGATTGGTAATGACCTGAAACACGCCATTGACCTCCTTACTGAGGAAACCTGTTCTCCGATCTTCTTTCCTTCCTCGTTACCCCTTCCACTTGATTTTTACCTCTTTCTACACGATACGACCCCTTTCTCTGCCGATACTCTCGCACGGATACAGCATGTACCATTTAGACGCTGATGGAGAGGAACACTTTTACTGGAACTTGCTTTTAACCTTCTAACAGGGTCATTTCTGAGTTGCTGATGATTCCAAGAATGTCGACCGCTCCTTTCTACCTGCCGCTTATTTTTCTTTTTCTCCAATTGATCGACACTTTAACGGTTACTGTCTTCTATTCGTGATCTTCGTGTTTAACTCTGAGGCTCTCTCCATGGTCCGCCGTCCGAGGGTGAATTTTTTATCGTTAGATACATCTGTCTTTCCTCTTTAGTTATGTATCAAAAACAATTTGCATACAATCTTGAGGGACAATGACGCAAAAACTTTCACGCGTCTAAAAAGCGTCGCGCCGCAAGTAGAACGAGACTCGTTGGTCAGACGTTTTTGCATTTCTGAAAGTGTTTATTACCAGGTCACTGGGTTTCGATCATGAGGATGTATTATCCCGTTTGAGTTTATTGCATACCCTCGTTTCATGTTGAAAAGTGCCATCTCTGAAAATTGATTATACGAAAATTTAATATAATTAGCATTAATTTTTGCAAAGTTCCAAGTGGAAAGTTTGGTACTAAACACTTTCTCTTTCATTATAATAAAATATTATTAATATTACTTTATTAAAAATGATAACTTTTATATTAAAATATTAAATACAGGTCTAATTAACTGTAAAGCGCTTTAAATCTCTCCTAATGTAAATAATGAATGAAAGTGTTGAAAGTTTTTATTAGCCTAGGAACTCTTGAAATTATGCAAAAACATGGAAATGTTCAATTTGAACCAAAATGATTGTCCGTCTAATTAACTATGAGTAATTTACGAACACTTATGTACATTTTCTTCTCTCTAGTAATTTGAAATATTATCTCAGAAAATTTTGCATATCTGTACAAATGAAACTGGAATTTTTAACATAAAACAGAGTGCTGTCTGTTCCTTTTCTAATTTTGTTTAATTAGGAAATATTTGTTGCAGATTCTTCAAGATGGCGCCGAACCTATTTGGTACCTCGGCGACATTATATTTGGAAGCATCCCAGCAGGATGTCCATCAAGATAAATCAACGACAGAAAAGTCGAACAGTCAGAAGGTGCTTCTACAAAAGTCGTCGACGGCTAAACCGAAATATAAATGGAACATCGTTTGGAGAAACGTGATCGCTTTTATTTACCTTCATATAGGAGCTCTTTATGGATTCTATCTCTTCTTCAATGGAACAAAATTCTACACCTTTCTTTGGAGTAAGTCAGTCGTGAATAAAATCAATTTTTAACCCTTTGCGAATCGAGCATTCTTAAGCTTGCACAGATTATTATTAATTTAAATTAAATGAAATTTTTGGAAAAGCAAATACCAGGTTGTAGATAATAAGATTGTTGTTTATATCCTGCGTATCATGTGCCTATGTTGGCCAGTTTCGAAAGTGATGATCTTCCAAGATCTCTACACGCCTTTTGATGCGGTTACGGTTGTGAATCACAAGCCTCGTAACTGGGTCAAACATATGGAAAGAAAAAGATTAGAAATGGTGAAACACCTGTCATCGCGATTTTGATGGAACAATATTTCTGACGATAAAATGTTACAATAATATATTTCAAAGTATTATCCCATTTTCTTGTCGTTTGAAAATCATTTTAACTAATAACCCTTGGCTTACGACTTACGAAATTTCTAATGCTACCAGCACTTAATTAGATATTTCTTACAGACTACCTTTTATAAAATTAATTTGTAATAAAATACTACATATGAAAATAATTGGAATTTTCAGCATTTGCAGTGGCATGCGCAGCAGCACTTGGTATCACAGCCGGTGCCCATAGATTATGGGCCCATCGAACCTATAAAGCAAAATGGCCCATGAGATTCGTACTGATGATCTGTCAAACAATCGCTTTCCAAGTGAGTTATCATTTCTAAAAAATCTACACGAATTTTCCTGGATCCTAAACAAAGAATCTGAAAGTTATTGTAGGTATCTTATAAATTTGAATCAACCGTTTCGTTCTAATAATTTAGTAGGAGATACTGAATACTAAGGAGTTTAGGGTCAAGGCTTTTCCTACAAAGTAGAACGTTTCAAATTCCATGTTTATTTCGCAGAATCACATTTACGAGTGGGTGAGAGATCACCGAGTGCATCACAAGTTCACCGATACTGATGCCGATCCACATAACGCTCAAAGAGGATTCTTCTTCTCCCATATGGGATGGCTTTTGGTACGAAAACATCCGGATGTGATCAAGAAGGGTGCTACGATCGATATGAGCGACCTCGAAGCGGATCCCTTGGTAGTTTGGCAAAGAAGGTAAAATTTTGAATTATCAACTAATTTTAATAACATTCCAACTGCTATTAATATTATTAATTCCTTTTGATTTATATTGTAATTTTTTCATTCAGAATACTATTATATAATTTACTTCAGAATTCTCCATATTGTATAATAAGCCATTTGGTGGGATTAAAATTGGCTCATCAATGTCAATGACCCGAATGGAACCTGTTTACTGCATACCTTTCTCTTTTCTTTTCTTCAGGTTGTATCTTTTCCTGATGCCCCTCTGCTGCTTCATAATCCCCATGTGGGTGCCGTGTTATTTCTGGGGAGAGAAACCATTTAATTCATGGTACAGCACCGTCTTTAGATACACTTTGTCCTTGAACTTGACGTGGTTGGTGAACTCGGCTGCTCATATATGGGGCATGAAACCTTACGACAAGTAAATAATCCTTTTCGCTGTTATATTTTATATTTTTTTGTAGATTTTTATGGATATATCGGAAAATGTTTGCAGAACGATTGGACCAACGGAGAACATCAGTGTGGCTATATGCGCGTTCGGCGAAGGCTGGCACAATTACCATCACGTGTTCCCATGGGATTACAAAGCGGCTGAATTGGGAAATTATAGGACCAATTTCACCACCGGATTCATCGATGCCTGTTCGCGTATCGGATGGGCATACGACATGAAAACTGTTCCAGTTGAAATTGTGAAGAAACGAGCAGCCAGGACTGGCGATGGAACGAAGTATTTATATAATTTCAGTTTTAGTGTATTAATTGAAAAAAAATGGAAATTTTGGAATTTGCCGAGTTGTAATTTGAAATCTTGCAATTTACAAAGTTGTAATTTGCAAAGTTGTAATTAGAAATCTTGAAATTTGCAAAGTTGTAATTTGCAATCTTCGAATTTGCAAAATTGTAATTTGCAATCTTCGAATTTGCAAAGTTATAATTTGAAATTTGCAATTTGTTGATATTTAATTGAAAATCCGTACCATCGAATTATAACTGTTTTTAACAAAAATATTCATTTTTTTAAATAAACAAATTTCTGCTCTCAGATACGATAAAACGGAAGCCCATCATCATAGCCACGAGAACATGAAATGGGGATGGGGAGACGCGGACATGCAACCTGAAGAGATCCAGGAAGTCGAGATTATCAACAAAAGCGATTAATCAATCAATCGTTTACCAACGTTATATACACATATGAACCGTTTATTTTAAGAGTGGCGTAATTCTGTTTCCAAAGAAAATTACAAATTGTTTATAAATCAAAAGATCACAATATATATCAATTTTTTGTTATCTTAATTTTTAAAAAAACATTAGACTCGCGCCATCTTCAAAATGAACGGTCCATAAAATATAAACATTTTCGGTTGGATTTGAACGATTGATCGCTTATCGATCAGCGATCGTTCGTTCACTACGTCAATTAATATTTATTGGACGTGTTGTCAAAACTGTTTATTCTTATCGAAGAGTCGACTGTTCGAGAAATAAAACCAAAAGAAGAAACAGAAAGATAAGCAATAACGTTAAATGGGTTTTTTAAAACATCTACATATATTGTTTCTTTGGTAAGATCGAGATTGAACGAAGTGTAATGGTGAATATAACGATAGAGAAAAATGATGGAACTATTACAGTCGACTCTTCTATTGTGTAATCAAATGAATTCGTGGCCTTTCGATTCAATCGTATCGTCGAGTCCGAAGAATCGATACCTGTACGATACCTGGACAGTTGATCGGTTAAATCACCTGGTCCTGATGTATCTCCAGCGGTGTAGAATTATCGTAACCAAAGCACGTGTACTGTATATCGATCAGTAGATCGAGTAGTTCTTGTATACACGGGAAAGGCACCTACGCGCATTGCCATTGAATTTTCAAAATTATCGAAACTTGGACCAAGAAAAAAATGATTTTTTTTTTTTCAATTTTATGTCAGCCTCCAACTTGAACCGTTCTTTTGAACATTCAGTAGATACCCAATTTTGTTGATAAAAAAATTAAACACTTCTTTTTGATCCAAGTTTCGAAAATCATTGGAAAGATTCGATATAAAGCCGGAAGACTCGAGCTCGATCTTCGCTTATTCGTCTTCCGCTAAAATGTTTTTCGCGAAATCGAGCCCGAGTCGAGAAACAGCGATCGTTTGCCGCTTTTAGCGTCAATTAAATGAAACGTACAATTAAATCGTGGCTTGGAGAAACGCAACCGCCACAGTAAGTGCGACAATCTAACATCGACTATTTGCCTTAACAACTAACTCGCTCTTTCTATTGTCCTGTCGCACAAATCCATGTTTGTACGATGTAGAATCCTTTAGAAGAAGAAAGGAAACAGGAAGTATACGAAATGATCCAGAGATTCTGTGATTTAATTTAATCCTGGAAAGTGATCGCGATATCATCCAGCGAAAGATAGGAATAATAAAAATTTTTTTATAATATCAAAATACACATTTCAAAAATAATTAACTTTTCTTCTGGGTCATTTCGTGTCGCTTCGATGCGAACCTTCGAACGCTATGCGACAAATTTTTTTAATTTTCAATCGTTAAGTCGATTGATGGTGAACGCGTGCCTTTCCTTTTCTCTACATTCTTTATTGGGTGATTATTATTTATTTTGTTGCCGAGATAAAACACTCCGGGGATTAATTTATGTATACAAAGGGTTAGGGAAGAGCTGAAATTGTTTCTTCCAGGAAGTACTTCCTTTGATTTTATATTAATTAAAAATATAGTTTGTTGAGAGTATTCGAAGCGTAAATATGGATTCCTATGACAATGGAACTGATCATTTTCCTTTTTTATCTATCGTATAGTCTCGGCACATCGATACGCATTATTTATTCTAACAGACATTCCTTTGAAAAAAGACACATTTAATTAAAAATTACAGACTTGTAGATATAAATACATAGATTTTATTGAAAATCATTCTTTACCCTGTTACCTACCACGGAATATTGTTAATAATAATTTTTGATATTTGTAAAATGTACAGTGTATCGATTTAGTTTATTTATTATAATTTTGTGGTAATTAGTGGAAAAAATTTTCTTCTTTTTTTGGTAATTTAATACACTCCGTATAAGAAAAGAAAAATACTGAAAGCGTAGAATATAAGGGATATAAAAATACCGTTGTTTAATTTTCATTTTCAACTATGGACAATATCGACGATTTTCAGTGTATTTATAAATAAATTATTGTTATTCGTAGAAACACGTGTCAAGGATAGATTGAACTAGTTATGCAGTCTCGAATTGCATCTAGAGAAGGGTGGATCAATGTGTAAAGGTACATTTCTCAATTATTTTCATTGCATAATAAGTTTTTACGATCCTTGGAGACCCACTTTTGCACCTAGATGTGTTCTAGACGTTTGCTCAAAACGAATATCAACATTCAGAAGCTTTTTCTCTATGGTGTTTGAAGCGGTGTTGTATGCCTTCAAACACGACAGAACGTTTCAATTTGCATTTCTAACACTTTCTCTGAATACTTGTAACAGTAAAATGAGCAATAAAACGAGTGGACTGACAGACTTATTCATCGAAGAATAAAAAGTTTGCTGGTAAATAAATCATATAAAGTAACTTGGTGTTTTTTTTTTTATCTCGGTAATAATCAAGTGCCGATAAAACGTGAATTGAGAGATAAAATTGTTTTTGAAAACATAATGATTTATTAAAAATCTTACTTTTAATCAAAATAATTCTCGATCCTTAAATTTTCCGTTTATAATTGATTTTATCTAACAATAAGTTTGAAAAAAATCGACACTAATCAAATTTTACACTAAAAATATGTAACCAATTTCTTATAAAACAAATAAAAGGAGAAAATTATTTTGTTTTGTTTGTTTTCAATCATGCGCTAAGGTTATCGTTTATAATGTACAAGGTTATTCATTTTCTTGATTTCACAGAGACCGGGTTAATGAATGCAGAACGTCGCGTTATTAATTTCAACCAATTAACCAGAGAATATGCATGTATTAGTCTTCCCGTTACTTTCAATTAAGAGCAAGAGAAGTGGTCGTTTTACCACCGGTCAGTTTCTTTCAGTCTTTGTTCGATAACCGATCGAAGAACAACAGGAAAGTGATGATTGATCTGCTGTCCTCGAGGTTCAATTGAAAGTGAAAGAACGTTTGAAATCGTTGGAGATCGCAGGTAAAGTGAACCATTAATTAATCATTAATCATTAGTCAATATGTTAACCCTGGAACGATGGAACTGGGTCAATCTTGGACCAAAGTCTATGAAAGTAATATAGCGTTTCAATTGAAAATTAGCAATTGAAATTTTTAAGAAAAAGTACTTTCCTTTATATTTTTACTAAATTCAATTTTTTCACCCTTTTTGAATTATTTTATAGCATTAAATTTGAAATAGATAATGTGTTAAATGGCAACATATTATGAATAAGATGATAATACAAATTAGCAATAAAAATTGACAAATAGCATCCTCAAAATAAAAGGTCGAAGGAAAAGCAATGACACAGATTGACAAGACATACGGTGACAAGAATTTTAACCAGTATCCTTGAATCATGAAACTCTAATTCGAAGGACAAAATAAATAAGACACAGAGAGAATGTTAAAATGTCTAATGCAATTTGTTTGTCCGAATGAAAATTATTCAATTGAAAATTGAAAATTACTTTCTTAAATTTCCAATTTGTAATCGTTCAGTTTGGTTTCGATTTTAAATCTTTATTTTTAGCTTAAAAATCAAAACGTATCTCTTAGATAAATGATAAAAAGATTCCTCGATCGATCATCAAGATTAGCCAGATTAATCAACGGTATAAAATAGGAACGGGTGATCCAGCAAATGGTTGGTTATTCACGAGTAAGTTAAATTAAGTTAACCACCTCTTGTCGACGATTATTCAATTTTGCGGGTCACTTTGGGCCACGAGGTATCCTCCGAGAAAAGACTAATTCAATAATCATAGTGAACTCATTCAGTGTTGACAGTTATGGTTGCGTAAACGGGGTCTCGCGTATAAGTTTTCCGGGACGCACGTTCCGTTTTTCCAACTTTAAATAATGTGAAATGTCGTTTGTATGACAAATTTGTCCTTCTTCTTTCAATATTTGCTGGATATGTTACTTTTCGAGGATTATGTAATCGTTGTATAAACATTAGTATCCAATGAGAAATTTAAGAAGAAAAATTGTAAAGTGCAAATTTTGAAAGTGAAAAAATCATATTTTGAAAATTAAAATATTAGAATTTTGAAATTGTTGAATATTGGAACATTAGAATACTTGAAATAACGAATAGAATGTATTAAAGTTTCAATTTCCTTTTCATTCCCTCAGTTTCCCTCTAATCGATTCAAATTTCCCGCCTCTCGACTGATCTTCATTTCCCTCCGAAAAAATCAAATTCAAAAACCGCCCAACGCGAAAACAATTTTTCTTTGTTATATTCTCAAGATTATGGGAATAAATTAATCCGAAAAGGCACGTGATCTTACAGGTGGAACTTGTTTTATTCGTAAGTAACGCAGGCGCGCTGGATGGCGACGAAAGCGACGAAACGCAGTTCGAGCGGCGCTGAGCATCGCGGTGTCGCTTACTCAGCACCAAGAAGAAGAGTAACGCATCGTGAAAGCGGTCTCGTTTGCTTCACCTGCAGCCTCTGCTGTGTTCTCAGCCTAATTTGCACATGTCTAGCTACGTTATTGGTGCTCGTGGATCAAAAAGTAGAAGCAGCTAGCTATCAATACCGTGAGTGAATCTTCACCGTGTTACTCCTAGTAGCTTCGTGACACCGGTTTACTTATGGCGGGAAATTTAAAACCGTCTCCAATAACATGTTTCATATACACGTATTCTGTTAGACAAAATATTAAATATCCTGCTGTAACATATAAAATTCCAAATTCCTAACTTATTAACAAAATAAAAATAAAAATTTAACTAATTTTAAATATAAAATTAGTGTCGGGTTGAAAGAAAATAGAAATGATTGAAAATTACGTGCAGTTTCGTAGATGATCCCTAGTACATAATTAAAATCTCATCAACAGGGTACAGAAATGGCGTTAATCTCAAAGTGTTACTTTCTGCCCCGTGGTAAAATACTTCCAACCGTTTATTTTTGCCGCAAGCTCGTTACCAAGGAATTTTCCACCGGTATTGTCAGCTTATCTCACTCGTTCAAACACTTTTATCTTAATCTCACGACGAGAATGCAAAACACTGTTTGATCGACCCCGGACAATATCTCGACGCGGTATTATTTTACCAAGAAACTTTTTTTTTCCAGCTTTGGCCACTATGAACAAGGATTCCATGTCCGAATTATCCTTCCGTTTGCCGAAGGAAGTGAAACCCCTGCACTATGACATTTATCTGCACCCGGACTTGAACAAGGGCACGTATCAGGGAAAAGTCACGATCCTGATTGTCGTACTGGATAGAAGAAGCTTTATAGCCCTTCATCAGAAAGAATTGAATATCACATCCATCGTGCTGAAGACATACGATCGGGAAGAGAATTATGAACTCGAGGTTGCGGATATCGTGCAAGTTCCGAAACACGAAATGTTCGTGGTCGCAACTAAGGTTGAACTTCACTCCGGATTGTATAATTTGAGCATCGAGTTCAATGGCGCTTTGCAGCCGGATAAAATAGTCGGATTTTATTCCAGTAAATACAAGGACTCGCAAAATAGAACCAGGCGGGTGGATTTATTTTTGGAAAAATCTTAGATAATCTATTTTTGATTATTTTTTAAAGAAATCTAAGATAATCTTTATTATTTTTTCGTAGATATATTGCCACATCGAAATTTGAACCGACTTATGCCAGAAGAGCATTTCCATGCTTCGATGAACCAGCATTCAAAGCAGAATTCACTGTTAAACTGGTCCATCCAACTGGCGAATATAATGCCCTATCAAACATGAACGCTGAAGTAAGAACCCCTTCAATATCGCCCCATCACCGTTTAATTATAAATATTAATAATATCCTATTTCAATTTGCCAGTGTACACAGATGAACGAGCCATCTCGGGGATTAACGACGGTGACATTTGCAAAAAGCGTGCCAATGTCCACGTATTTAACTTGTTTCATAGTTAGCGATTTCGTAGCGGTCACCAAAATGGCGAACGGTCTGAATGACCGTCAATTTCCGGTTAGCGTATACACGACTAGAGACCAGCAACACAAAGGCACCTTCGCCCTTGACGTGGGGGTGAAGATTATTGAATATTATATCAAATTGTTTGGAATCGATTATCCTTTACCTAAACTCGGTGGGTATCTTTGAGACCTGGAGGATAGTGGATACTATTTTTATACGAGTTCGATTTTCCAGACATGGCTGCCATTCCTGATTTCGTATCCGGTGCGATGGAAAATTGGGGTCTTGTTACGTACAGAGAAGCGAGATTGCTGAGCGACGAGAAGTCGACTTCCACTTCGAAAACTTATGATATTCTTACTGTAATTAGTCATGAGTTTGCTCATATGTGGTTTGGCAATTTGGGTAGGTCCCATTACAAAAAAAGTCACGATGAAAGTATGGGGTGATCTTATTTTCTTCTTCATTATTTTTTAGTGACTATGTCCTGGTGGAACGACCTCTGGCTGAACGAGGGCTTTGCTTCCTTCATGCAGTACAAAAGTGCTGATGGGGTGTTCCCTGGTTGGAGTCTGGTAAATAAATTCAATTATTCATTTTTTGTTACGTTTTAGCCATCTACGTTAGTCAAGTTTTCTTCTCCAGGTTTTTATCAACCTATTGATATCCAGGAACCATGAATTTTAATTCATAATTCCACATAATAATTTTTTATTTCAGATGGAACTGTTTCTCACCGAACAAATGCACTCTGTGTTTGTAACAGATGCCAAATTGAGTTCTCACCCAATCGTTCAGACAGTCAGCAACCCTGACGAGATAACAGCGATCTTCGATGAAATCTCTTACAAAAAGGTACTTTCATATAAAATTATCATGATCCTTGATTGATCTTTATTTCATGATTTGAAAATTTCAAGGGTTCCTCGGTCATTCGAATGATGGAAAATTTCATAGGGCCCGATGTCTTCTACGGTGCCATTGCTACCTACTTAAACAAATTCGTGTATCACAATGCTGAGACAGCGGATCTCTTCAAGATATTGGAAGAAGCTTCACCGGATAAATTGAACGTGACGGCGATCATGGACACGTGGACTAGACAGAAAGGATTCCCGGTTGTAAATGTGAAGAAAACGGGAAATAACTACATGTTGACGCAGAAACGGTTCCTTGCTGATTCCGATGCTGAATTTGACGCTTCCGAGTCTGAATATGGGTGAGTAAATGGTATTAAAAATTCCTTACAGGCTGAGTGTTCACAAAAATATTAATTAAATATGTTAATTAGGTACAAGTGGACCATTCCTATTACTTATATCTCAAATAAAACATCGAAGCCTGCGCTTTTGTGGTTCAACAAGGATGCCAGTTACTGTAATTAATCTTCTTTATAATTTTTACAATAGTGAAAAATCAAATGAAATTTATATATTTTTTTGCACAGTATTGATTGAGTTCAAGGAGCCTCAAGAATGGATCAAATTCAACGCGGATCAAGTTGGATATTATCGGGTCAATTACGAAACAACCGAATGGAACGTTCTGAACAAACTTCTTCTATGTTCTCACACAGTAAATTATCTGCCTTTTCTAATATTATATAAAGAAATGTTTCTTTTTAATTTTTTAGAACTACGTGATTTGTATTATAGAGATTGTCAGTGTCGGATAGAGCACACCTTCTGGAAGACGCGTTCAGCTTAGCAAGCGCTGGAGAACTTGAATACGAAATAGCAATGAACATGACTGGGTATCTGTCCCAAGAAAATAATGCTATTCCATGGAGTGTTGCATCCTCCAAACTGACAGCCATTGACACTTTGATGTCGGCAACCAATTCATCGTCGAAATTCAAGGTAAATTATGGAGGCTTGCAATGTAGATTTTTGAATTCCTTTTCATCGAGGACAATTTTATATTCGAAATGAATATATTTGTTTAGCAATACGTAAGAGATTTGGTGAACCCCATTTACCAGGAGATAGGATGGTCTGTGAAGAACAACGAGGATCGTATTCATCTGTATGTCAAAAATGATTAATATTTTCCTATTTTATTCTCTGTCTATGATATATCATTATTGTAATTATTCAGAAAACTGCGAACGACAATACTTGGCTTGGCCTGTTCAGTGGAACACGAGAAGTGTCTGGAAGACGCTGGAAAATTATTCAAGAGCTGGTTGCAGGATCCTAAAGATACTCGTCCGCATCCTGACATTCGTAATCTCGTATATTACTATGGTAGAATCCTTAAAAATTATTAAATTTGTCGTTTGAAAAATTCAACCTTCACAATTGCAAATTTCTTTCTTTTCCTTAGGAATGTATCACGTTGGCGATGAGGCTTCTTGGAACGCCGTTTTCGATAAATTCGTCGCTGAAAAGGACTCCGCAGAGAAGCTGGGATTATTGCGCGGATTGACTGCGATACGATCGGTTTGGATTTTGAACAAGTATGTCATTCATTCCTGAACGTTTCAATCCATTCAAAGACAAAATCTTCCATTATTTAACACTTGAACTATAGAGCGACAACCAAGCACTTTGCAACAATAAATCATCATTATTTAAATTCTTTTGACTTTTTGTGTTTTCATTTTAGATTCATCACGTCAGCCACGGATGAAAATTACGTACGTTCTCAGGACTTCTTGAACTGTCTAGCAGCCATTTCTGAGAATCCTTTAGGGACACCGCTGGTCTGGGATTGGGTGCGATCCAACTGGGGATTTTTGGTGGACAGATACACTCTCAATGACAGATACCTAGGTTCGCTAATTCCATCGATCACAAAGACATTCGCTACGGAGACACGTTTGGAGGAAATGAAAGCGTTCTTCGCGAAATACCCTGAAGCTGGTGCTGGAGCCATGAACCGAGCTAAAGCTTTGGAAACGGTGTCGAATAATATTAAATGGCTTGCAAAGAATCGTGAGAAGTTGGATAACTGGCTAAATACACGTGAGGAAGGTCATTAGAAGGGTCAAACGATAGTCATTGATTTTAATTGATGTTTTGTTCGATGATCGTTGCTGAAGAACTAGGGGTGTGTTATTATGGAGATTTCATGGGCTATGTGATGTGTGGTTTTTAAATTGAATCAAAGGCGAAGAGAAACGAAGGTTGATATTTTGAGGTGATTTTTGAAGACTATAAATGATATTTTAATGATGGTAATTGGGTCAATTGTGACCCAGAAGACTGTCAGGAATAAACAGAATGCTTATGAAGCTTTACAAAATCATGCATTTAACTTTCTCCACTTGACCCATTTTGTAAGAATTTATATTTTTATGCAGCAAAGTTTGTAATGATTTTTTAACAAATAAACCATCTATGGGATGAATCAATTTTCTATTTGCTCAATTCTTTGTATTTCTTCTGTTATTGAATTTGATGCACCAGAAGACAATCAAATATGATCAATAAAGTCTTCGCAATTGTTCTTTTTCTTTAGACAATTGAATTGACTTTGGTGCATCAGAGGATCGTGTAAAAAGAAATCAATAAACAGGTAAACAGATAAATTTGAATCGTTCAATTTAAGACACTCGAGTGTAATAGTTCCCTTTTCTGATGTTCATCGATTGCTTCGTCATCACAGGGGATCTGATAATCCACCAATTGATCTGTCATTGACAAAACGAGCCACGTAAATTGATTCGTTGAGCAAACGGAGGCCGAAATTGAGCTTCCGTAAATATCGAAGCTCAATTGTGGGATTATCCTTCGGTTACGAGTTTTCACGATGGCTTAAAATGAAAGATTTCACCGTAGATCTAACATCCGTGTCATAAATGACCCTTAACTTCCATCGTGGTATTATTACGAGTATCATAATTTTATTTTGATGTACTGTAATTCTTTAAATTTTTTGGATGTTCAGTCTTTTTCTTTTTTAAGTAAAATCCATTTCTTTCAAAATACATTTAACTTTTCCACAATTGCAACACGTGTTGGAAATAAAGAAATCACAAAAGAACGTGCGGTCTGCGGGAAAACTGCTGAAGAAAACTTAATTCGACACTTAATCACCCAGTTACATTGCTGAGAAAGAACTTCTCCAATTATCTTTTCCTCTTTTTCCTAGAAAAACAAAAACTTCTGGACGACATCCAACACGGAAATACGGGAAAACCTTTTTTTCGCTTAATTGGTGAATTTAAGTAAATCCATGTTCGAAACTTTTAGCTCCTGATGGGATCAATAAAAGAAAAATAGTTAACACTTAAAAAACTTGTATTAAAGGTTCTTAGATATATTAGAATTTTATTATTAATTAACAAAATGAACTTCGATTTCCAAACTTTCTTATATCCAATTTCCAGTTACTTGTTCCTTTATCCCTATTTCTGAGGTAATCCGAAACGTTCGATCGACGTGAATCAACCTCGAAAGAGCAAAAGCTTGTCGACTTTTAATAGTTCTTGATTTTGATAAAAGTAACCTGAGAATCCATGCATTTGCTTTCACAAATGGAAAGTTCGAAAAACGTTTCTTCGCTTTTTTTTTTTTTTAAGAAACTTCAACCCTCTACTTCCTGTTCAAATTTCAATCTAACGTCGGTGACATTAGAACGCGTTATTTCAAGCAGGTAATTATTATTTCATTGAGAAGTTTCCAAATGTGTGAAAAGTCGAACGTCCATTCATTATCGGCGATCAATCTTCGTCGAAGAATAGCCATTGAGGACTAACAAGTATCGAAAAATTTCAATAGAACCCGACGACGTGAGTCCATAATAACTGTTACTTTTCGTCGTTCTCTGGCCATTCAGTCGCTGAATGGACCTTTGATTAGCATAGCAAATTGCCACTCATCGATTTCGGTAAGCTCAGAATAACAATTTCGAACGTGGGATCTGGTGGCACCGATAAAGATATTGAGAAACTATTGGAAAACTATGGAATTAAAATCTTTTTTCAAGAGCTGAAAATACTGGAAATGTATGGAATTGAAATCTTTTTTCAAGAGCTAAAAATACTGGAAATATCTGTTTGAGTTTCTTCGGTTTGGAGAACTTTTCAAATTGCAATTTCATTTTTCTTTCAAATTTGTTTCCAAGGGCAATACTTTCATTACGTTAATTGACTTAATGGAAAACTCGACGAAGCGTCCAGAAGTATCTATCGCGGCTTTATTTACAAAAATAGAACCACTATGGATTACGAAGAACTTTCGACGATATGAAACTTCGCAGATCGTTATCGCTCTTTATCGAGATAATCATTTTTATAGTTGAAATGTATATACAAGGGATGAAGTGATAGAAAGCTCGAGCACTTATCGGGTTTTATCGGAAAAGATAAGATTCATGATGTTTTTAAATTTTTAATTTTCCTTTAATGTGACATTCAATATTTGCATAAAGGAGTCTGTAATTTGAGGTCCGTTTGAATATTAACAATTTGACTAGCATGGTGGAAATGATCGTCATTAAAATCACATTAAAGTAACGTTGATTAATTAATTTTCACATTTCATTATGAACTGGCTACAAAAATAGAATATTTAAAATTTTGTATGGAATTCAGCCTCTAAATTATTCTAATATCGTATTTCAACGGCGCAATATGAAATAGCCAGATGGTCACAATGGGAACGAAAGGGTTAACAATGATCGTAATTTCCTGTTTGTGGTTCAGCTGTGCAAACTGATTTTATTACTTCAAAACAGATAGTGAATCGTTAGCTGGAAAAATATGGAAGGTAGAAGAATTATTCTGTTTCTATAGTTATAAACATTTTTCCTCCTTTATTAGAAGAACAATGTTACAGGTTGTCCCAGTTTTTAAGAATCTTCGATCAATATTCCACCTTCATCCAATTTTATTGCAGAACGTTTGGAAACTAAAGGTGTAAAAATTTAATCAAGTATCCGTAATAAACGGTAAAAGATTGAATTTCCGTGTTCAACGTCTTTCCTTTTCCATATTTATTAAACAAAAAATAAACTTCATGAATGAATTACGATTACTATAAATGATAATAGAAAATGGGCGAAGAAGCTTTTAATACTAAAAGCTATTCCAATTATCTTCTTATCAATATTCTTCATCTTTTGTAATAAAAATAATGGAAACCATCGAACCTGCCAACTTTCCGCCTTAATCGAAATTTATCGATTACCAAAAATAACGAAATAAATTGAAAAGAAAAACACATCACTTTCATGAAAAATGAAACTTTAGAAGTGATAATCGATACGTGGATAATGCTTGAATTCCCATAGGAATCCACCATCCATTTTATTGAGGACCTCAAGATTAATTCATAAATAATAATTAATCAAAATTTTCTGATCAACCCAAAACGTCAAAGGAGACACTAACTACAGCGAACTTACGTGCATCGAGAGCATATCTCTCAATCTCTTGGATTAATTTACGTCGTACGCCTGTTTAATTAATTTTCATCTTCGTTTCAGCCTGTCTCGTCGACGAAATATAGCAGAGGAGGAAAATTAAGGAGAATTTTCTAACATAAAAATCTGCTCATAGGTGGTCCTATTCTTTCTACAGAACCACGTCACTGGCCACTTATTTTTAAGATACACTTTCGGCTATTTTTGATCACTTACTAGAACTAAGGTCGAACAATAACCGCATTACTAAACTTTGTATCATTGTGCTCTTTTTTAGACCAAAAGCGAGCGATGAACTTTTCGAGGACAGGTCTACAATTTTTCATGCCTGAGTCAGGACACGGTCGATGAACTCTTCTAAAAAGGATTGTAATTCATCAAATTTTCTGATTTACAAAATTACATACCCGATTCGTAACATTCGTAATGGAAATTATACACGCAAAGGTCGTGGAACAAATCCTCAAAGCAGTTTATGCTTTTTTCTCTGTGATTTTTTCGAAAGTAACACAAGTGACAAGTTAAATATTTTAACACGTTATGATTAATATTGGATACCGTGGGGGCCACAGGTGGCCATTACCATGAATTTAATATAATCGAATAAATGAGGGGAAAAAATTAAGAAAAATTTGATGACATTAATATTATATTAATCGAGGTGTCGAATTGAAAAATTTTCTTGCTTTATTGTATAACTCGTCGATAAATTATTCAACCTTGATTCGTTTTTTCTACGTACCTACTACGAATTTTAAAGAGGGGCCTCGCATACATGATTTCTTTTTTCATTAATTTCTCAATTACATATACTCGTTTGCAATAAATTCATTGCTCGCAATTGGTTCGCGAAATTTCGTAAAATCAAGATATGCAGGAGAAGATTGCAGGAATGCATTATAATTGGCAGGATGCCCAGGTCTAAAAGCAAGATGTATAAAATTCGTTGTTGCAACAACACGGTTGTTTATCAATCCGCGAATTATCGTCGTGTAAAGTTCAAAGTACACACCGGAAGTGTTACAATCGCCCATTCAAGATATTAAAAAAAAAAAGAAAATGAAGAAAAGGGTTCAGAATTTTAACTGTTCGAATTTCAGTATCGTAGGACAAACAGAGATCATTTGCAAAGTTTAATGAATTTGATCATTGAAAGTATACAATAATCAGTTTGATTCTTATATCCGGTCTAAATCACATTTTCAACGTTCCATTAATTATTCAACAGTTCGAGACAAACGATTTCGTGGCGTTGTTAATCGGTTTGACGATGCCTGTCTGTTATAATTAAACACTGTTTTCGACGGTTATTCGTGTACGGTTCTTTGCCCGTCCCTCTAACGCGATCAGCGACACGTGGATTTCTTGTATACATATTTAATGAGCAATGGTGTTTTTAATTATGTCAATGGATTCGATTGAACGATTGCTTGTTTCAAAGAGCGACTATTGGGGTGAAACGATTGACAAAGAATGTTTGTTTCAATGAAACGATTAACTCCTATTATCATGTTTTGAAAAATATCAAACATGTTTTCCTTGTCCTTGATTCAAGAAAAAGAATATCCATACCTTTTCCCAGAATAGCCTCGTTGAATCCTATGAAAGGTTGCAAGTTCACGTTGTTCACGCATTGAGTGCACCGCGGATATTGTCGTCTTTCTGAACGGTAAACGTTGGCGAATATTTGTCGAAACAGCTATTTGTATTCAGGAATTATGACGAAGCGTGTTTAGGAAGAAAAATTTCCACGCGACTCGAATCGAAATTGGCACCAATGGAGTTCGCAAAATCAGGTTGAAAAGACTGGTTTTATTTTGCAAAAAGAGAAAAAATTCGGAATAAAAGTAACCAAGAGTCAATGATTTTTAGAATCGAATTTTCTATGTCTTCTAATTAAGCAAAATAAAAACGACTAATTTATTAAAATATTTCACACTCCTATCGTCATATCTTTGCACAGAAATAACGAAGAAACTTCGTACAAATATCTTTTCGATCCAAGTTTCTCATCAAATTACAACGCGTTTAGGTTTCAATTATCCACGCGAATAGGCCTGGCAATTCAAACAATAAGGAGAAAGTATCAAGTTCATAAGAAAATATTAGTCCATCGTGATGGAAGCATTTCCTCCAGTACATAATACGATAACATTGCTTGATATAACTGGCAAACAGTCATTTTATATTAAAAATACTAATGAACTATTTATATAATAACGTATTATTGTATAAATATTTTTACCTTAATTCTGTTAAATGATGCATTGTTCCGTTTGTCCTGATGCACTATGTGCAACAGGTGATGTACATCCTGTCTCTGGAATTAAAACCCCTCTTCATAGGTTAGGTTCTCGGAATCGAAGAAAATCGATGACCATCGTTCCCGTCGGCGTGCAGAGCATCACGTATGCAATAAACAAGGGTAGAAACTCCATGGATGATCGTTTCCGCTCGATAAGACCTAGCTTTAAAAAAGAAACACAGGGCCATTAGCAACAAAACGTGCAACAGGTGAGCTGCAACTTTTTTCTCCTTTTCCCTTCGTTAATCTAAGACCTTTACAAACGAACAATTGTTTTCAAATATCAGAATTCCAAGAAGTGTCAAGGGGAAAAAAAATCATGAAAATTTCATGAATTCGTTGAAAATCATTATTCAAATTAATTTATCTACATCTTTTTTTTTTTAAACGAAGAACAATATGTCAACATTCGTTGATCTTTCATCTATAAAAAAAATGTATATATAAAAATTTGTTTTATAATAAGAATTCCCGAATCGTTATTTATATTTTATATTCAGTCGTCTTGACCTTTTGCTTCCGCGTTGTTAATTAATTACTCGATCCGTGGATTTGGAATATCAATTTTTGATCAAATAAAAATATCAATTTGCCGAATTAATGATTTTACCGTACAATAGAAGTAGAAGCTGGATCGGTCGTGTCTGGAATTGCGTCAGAAGGGTGGCACGGTATTTTAAGGTAAAGGGTTAATAAATGTCGTCGGTGAAAAGCGACGGCGATCGAACGGATACGAGACGAAAGACGCAGGTGCAAAGGCGATATTTTGTTGTGAGGACAGCTTAATGCCGCGCGATCCCTCTTTCAAATTCCCGGCAGCGCTGGAACAAGCTCAGAACGCGTTCGCTTCCCGTGGGTATCGGTCGGCTTATGAAACTTGTTCGGGGGACCAGCCCCCTCTTACCTTCTGTTTGTATACATCGACTTAGGAATCTTCGATTTCAGTTGATTGTCATCGGTTCGATATGAATGCCACGCGATCTTCTGATACTCTGTGGATTTGTCGGAAGAACTCCGGTTCGCGGAAACTCAGTGAGTAATTGTGAAATTTTGTGATTTTCATTAACGATGTGATAGATATATTTTTAAATTTTAATTACTGCTTCGTTCCTATTCGAAAATTTCTATAATTTATATTTCGTATTTTTACATAGTGAAATGTCAAAGAGTGATGTCAAATGTGAATAATTGTGAAATTTTATTGGAGATCGAATGAATCGTGATTTTTCCTGGTAGAAATATTTTGTAATTCTAAATTAAATTACCGTTTCTATATTGTGAAGTTTTAAAGAGTGATCGTGATTTTTTTTTTTTTCAATAACAAGACAAATTTTGTCGATCTATGCACGTTCGTGTTTAGAAATTTTTTTATAAATAATTTTGCATAGTGACATTTGAAAAAGTACCTGTGATTTTTCGTTGGACATGAATACGATTTGTTTTTTGAAGAATATTTCGCATGTAGGTTATGTGTATATCATTTACCTTTTCTGAAGCTTCGGTGAATGATTGCGAAGATTTTCTTTTGACATGAATGACTGAGAAACTTCAATATAACTTGTGTTTCAAAACATTGCAAATAGTTTCTTCAATTTATTTCTGCGAAATACGTGTAACGTATCCATTTGATTTTGCGACTTAACACATAAACACTTTTGTGTACGTTACCTTCAATGAACAGTGATCTCTTCAAAACATAAACATCCAGCTTTGCATAAACACAGTTCTCATCGAAGAAACACTCTCTATAATATATGTCGAAAAACAAAACGCTTCAGATGCTTAATATTAGATAATATGCAATCGAAAAGTAAATGAAGGGAGGATTTCAATTAGTATAATTTCTATTTCTAAAAATACCATTAATTAACAGCTATTATAGTGTCTATGCAATTGCTTTTATTCAAAGTTTCTCAATTGACCATGCTCAGTATGCAAATGGCCCGAATTAGGGACTGAGTTCTGTCGTTTAAACTTCCATTTCGATCCATGGAATCGTTTACGGAGATCTCAAATTTCAAACTAAATTTTATTATTTCAAATTTCCTTCTCTGAAAATGATTTCCAATAAAAATTCACGAGAATCAGAATCTCAATTTTTATTCAAATTTTCAATAATAAAAATGCCGTGCAATTCGCAACGATCCTTATCTTGACGAAACACTCGGTACCAGCGCTTTGGTTTCCGCGATGATCGAGGGGACAAAGGGCAGAAATAGAGAGCTTGTTTCCGTTGATCTCAGGAAACAACGCCGATTGCGAAAGCGAGGGCAATCGACGGAGACATCGGACCGTAAATCCGTGTACTTTATATCGTGGCCGCTCGCGAAACCAGCTTACTAGCTCGAAATAGTGCCAGATGCGAAATTAATCAACCGTTCCCGTGACGATTAAACAGTTCGTTCAGTCAGCGTAAGCTCCGCGATCGAAGAAGAATGTTCAGTCGCGTGCGAACTTGTGATACGAGTTGACGCTGTTCGAGAGGAGAAATGGAAGAGGATCGTTCGGTTTAGAGAAACGTTTAATCGGTTATCGATGAGGAAGAATCATTGACAAGTGAGATTTTATCATTTCTCATCTGCGCGTTGGGTTGTGTTCTCATTTTTAACCCACGAATGGAGAATTCTTTTTTATTTTAATTTTTGTTTGGGTTCACCCTGCATCCCTCGATCGACGGTTAATTGATCGATAAAAAATCAGGAATTTGAATGGAACTTGAAGATTGAAATTAGATAGAATCGAAGCGATTAGCGAAATGAAGGGGCTGAAATGTTAGATTGGAACGGTCTTCCATTGGTCTTCGAGAATTGAATCTATTTGCGAGGTGATGGAGCTTGAGGATTGAAATTAACGAAGAGAATTGATTAGTAATATGAAGATATTGAAGTGAATTTAGAGATGTATACTAAGGTGTACAATGTCAATTAAAATTGAATCCATGGATTAAGTAAATAAGGCATTAAAATCATAAATTTCAAGTGTCCTGGAAAGTGGATGACCATTGTGGATAAAAGATGGTTCGAGCTAAGATTATATAGAATTAAAATTGATTAATGAAGTAAAGTAACATTGAAAGATACGAAGGACCAATAGAAACGTGAATCTGTATCTTTTTTCCCTTTTTTCTTTTTCATTTGAAAACTGAGCGAACGGCTTGACAGTAATTGGAAAACAGAAACGATTGCGAACAATTTAAACGAGATAGCTGAAAACCGATTCGTGTACCTTTTCTATTGAAAAAACTAGATTGTTTGACAGTGATTGAAGAAGCATATCTATTTTTTAGACTCTAATCGATCGGTAAATTATTCAGAAGCTACCTTGAAATAAGAATTGCAAAGAACCTCATTTTCAACTAATGATCGAGGGAAACGAAGAAAAATGATACATTCCATGATAAAACTGCAAGTTTTACTAATTAATCATTATGCGAAAAGAAGTTAACGAGTGTGAAGGCTTTTGAGACACGAGTGAATATTAAATGATAACTGAAGAACCGAGCAAGATTAATTCATTGATTATTTGAAGAAATAGCTGTTGTAACTTGAACTTCAAATCTCTCGAATGATAACATTTTACTTGAAAAAAGAACAGATTGTTATTGTGAATGGAGAAAAAGCAAGTTTATAGTACATATTTCGGATTCGCTTGTTTACTTGGAACTTTATGAATTTGATGGGTTCATCTAAGCGTTTGATCTATATATCAGTTAAATAAAAAAAAATTATAATAATTTTGTTATCAATTATTCAATTATATAGAATTTGAAATTTCGTTATCAATTATTCAATTATATAGAATTTGAAACGTCGTTCATTAGCGATCACCCACAGTAATCAACGCATTAATATTTTGATAAATGAACGAATTGTAATCGCGTGTTAATCTTCTATAAAAAAGGAATAACAAACATCTTGAATTTAGGTCGACAAACTTTTCCTTTTTTCTTGAACTTTCATTCGAGATGACAAATATGAAAATTGCGTGATGATCGCGTAATAATGATATTGATAAAGAAATCGAAAAAATGAAAGTGTGCCAGAAACTCGATAACAGTTGTTTCGAGCAGATAATACTGAAAGTTTAATGCAATTTTAGATTAAAATAAACGAATCAGTCCAAGTGAACTAAAAATAATTTTAAGATTATCATAACATTATGGGTGAAACTGCATCGTTCCTGATAAATGAAACACTAGGCTGTTCCTTGTGTTACATTATTTGATATGAAAATCATATCAGAGGATATGAATTAATTAGCAACAATTGTTATCACAAACGTGAAAAAAATGAATGATAAAATAATAAGTACCTATACAAAGAAATCAGGATAATAAAAATTATTCAAATTATTTATTATAATTTTCTAGATAATAAAATTTTATTCTAACGGGGCTTGAAACTTAAATATCTCACGGATCGAATGATCGTTACGTTGGATAATCGATACTTGGTCTTACAGATCAACTAGATCCAGTTGAAACATAATTACACCAGTGTAACGTGGTTTCAATTTGACCGATAAGCATCTAAACTGACTATTATGTCGCACAAATTTACGCGATCGGTTGATCAATTTGACGAAACAACTTGGGAATATTTTGACCAAAAATATTATTTAAACAAAATGAACCGACGAAATTTATAAATTTTCAATAATTCGATACGATGTGATATTAATAATGGTTACATCGTTTGGTTAAAAAGAGTAATTAAATAAGTGAAGTCACGCTAGCTAAGTGAACGCGTTCAACCGGAAGTGTCACTGAAGAGTGCTGGTCATTCTGTACCGACACGTGTACAGCAGCGAGCACGGTAGACTTCCCTAAGGAAATTGGCGATGAAGGGAAGAAGGCACCACCACTCGCTATAATTTTGAAAATTTCAATGTTAATAATAGAATAAATTTTAAATAAACATTTGCATGGAAATAATGGAGTTTCCTTCTGTATCTCTAAGGAAGACTATTGTGCTCGGCACTGTACCACAGGAAGCATAATAAACCCGTCCTTCCACATTGGCGATTTTCTATTAATATGTACAAGTCCGAACGACATTCTCCATTCGTCGCCCGGTCGTCCCTGAGGAAACAAGCGTCTACATGCCGGTCGAACGATCTATTTTCAAAATCGCCAATTGATTTCGACGTTCGATCGAACAGACTATCAAATGAAGCATAACCAGATCCCGTTTCGACGTTAATTTTGCAGAACGACCGTTTAAGAGACCTTCGACAGCGTTAAATAGCTGCAATAAGAATGAAGATGGTGTTTCGATGAACATTTAGATGAAAAACAGAGAGACAGTCGCAGGAGGAATCGATCCGTAAGTTAGCTAGAGTGGACTGAAATTGGACGAAATTGAGTTAATCGACGCTGAGGGACACGAGGAAGTCAAGATGGTCGTCGAACCGTGAACCTTCCTCGTCGGGAATAAATATCACCGGCTAGCTTAAAGTTCAAGTAAAACGGGAAACGATGCTGGCAGGGACTAATCCATAGATCGTTGGATCAACAGTGAATTAGCTGTTGTTTACACAAGCCTCGGACGACTGATTGGATCTTGAAGAAATGATCTCGAACGGGATGAACGAGTCGTTGGATCCGGAAGGATCGATCGTCGGCTCGTTCCTGAAGATGGATCAATCTGGGAAAGAGAATTTATTGGTTACAGGTAATCATTTCTAATTGCAAAATTATCATCGCTGACGTATAAAATAAAAATTGTTATTATAATTTAAAAAACATTATAATTGTTATTAGTTGCAGCCGATGCGTTTGAGAATTATACAAGCCCGATTGTTGCATTCTTGCAACGTGAAGATTCTTCGATGAGACGCGATCCATTGTACATCGTGTTACCGATCACGGTGATCTATGCGGTGATCTTCTTCACCGGTCTGGTTGGTAACGTGTCCACGTGTGTAGTGATAGCGCGTAACAAGTCGATGCACACCGCCACCAACTACTATCTCTTCAGCCTGGCTGTGTCTGATTTATTGCTGCTGATATCTGGCCTACCACCGGAGATGTACTACATATGGTCGCATTTCCCGTACGTGTTCGGCGAAGCCTTTTGCATTATTCAAAGCTTCGCCGCGGAGACGTCCGCGAATGCCACTGTCCTCACCATTACCGCCTTCACCGTCGAAAGGTTGGTAACCATTTTCCAATAACTATTTCAAATTAGCAGGAATATTCGGATACTGGAGTACTCGAGTACTCGAATATAGCAAATACTAACATACTTGAGTACTCGAATGTAGCAAATACTAAAATATTCGAGTACTCGAGTGTTGTAAATACTAAAATACTTGAGTACTCGAATATAGCAAATACTAAAATACTCGAGTACTCGAATATTGTAAATACTTAAATACTTGAGTAATCGAATATAATAAATACTAAAATACTTGAGTACTCGAATATAGCAAATACTTAAATACTCGAATACCCGAATATAGCAAATACTAATATACTGGAGTACTCGAATATTGTAAATACTTAAATACTTGAGTAATCGAATATAGCAAATACTAAAATACTCGAATACTCGAATATAGCAAATACTAAAATACTCGAGTACTCGAATATTGTAAATACTTAAATACTTGAGTAATCGAATATAACAAATACTAAAATACTTGAATACTCGAATATAATAAATACTAAAATACTTAAATACTCGAATATAGTAAATACTAAAATACTCGAGTACTCGAATATTGTAAATACTTAAATACTTGAGTAATCGAATATAGCAAATAGTAAAATACTTGAGTACTCTAATACCTTAAATATTTAGATACTAGAATATCCCAGGTATTTAAACATTCGAATACTCGAATGGCCCAAAATCGAGTACACATCCAGTATCCAAGTATTTTATTAGCATTCAAATATTTCCGTGTTCAGCGTCACATTTAAGAATTTCATTATCCTTTTTTTCAATATCATTTCAAAACAATTGATACCAAAAGATATTACAACTTATGAAACCCAATTTCCTTGACTCACTTTCACTTTTAAGGGTTCATTTCAGACAAAAGAGGAAGTGTATATTACATTTGGTCCTTTTTATGGTAGCCCAATCGCCCCTAACAGTTACGTAACAAGCATTTCAACCACCAATCGAGGGTGAAATTGTTCCCTCTGGGTTCCGAGCGTTAGGTTTCGTGATTCCGGAATTGTTATGATCCTATAGTCCCTTGGGGCAATAATTACAAGTAGCTAGAAATGTTGCACGTTTACGTGATAAAAATTGATCGATCTTCGTCTTCTTATTCTTCTTCCAAACTTCGAAAGAAAACTTTGTTCCATTAATAGAATCTGTCAGGGTTACAAATAATTTCTTATAGGGCTGTTTCTGATGTTATATAACTGCAATAGAAAAATTGTATCAATTATTTTACTGATGATCAATAATTTCTTGAATATTGAAATAGAATTGTTTTATTCCATTTCTTTTCTTTTTTCTCGAAGGGAGAGTAACAGTGGAGATGTTTATGGGAGATGGTTAAGATTCTATGGTTTCCCGATGAAAATAGATATATCGGAGGGTAGAAAAATAGGTGACATCGATTGCTGTTTAAATACAGGAAGAAAAGTGATTACGTTGTTATTTATTTTATTTAGTATCTATTGTATTTATTTCCGAGCACCCTGAAACAAACCTTTATTTACCTGCCGTTGTTGTGATTTTCTGAAGGCTTGGAGAATTACATAAAAAATTTCAAGGCTATTAAAATTTTTTCTTTCAATTGAAATAATTAAGGTAATAGACCCTCGTCGTCTACTTTTAAAAATTCAACAAACATTTCTATTTCTATTATTACATCTATATACGCAGCAAAGAGAAAGAGGTGATTGACACTGAAACTTCATTAAACGAAAATAAACGTGTCAAGAAACGTGAAACAGAATGAGTTGACGACAAGAATAACCGTCCTGTTTACTTTTCTCTAATTTCTCAACCTGACGAGTCATCATCCTCAACGAGTTACACCTCGTTCTAAATTACCCTCTTTAACAAAAATTTCTTTTTCCTGTCACTGACGTAACTAGCTCCTCTAACTTTACAATAGAAACGTTCCAAATATTTGTCCCAATTTTAAAAGACTCTACAGAAGGAAAGTCAGTCGACGTTTTGTGGAGGTTCGGCTCCATTATGACCCCTATTTAATTACGTCAATGTTTCTTACTCGACAAATATTATCTAACGAATAAATCGTGCTCTCTTGGCTACGCAGTTAAGAGAAACGTGCGTTTCTATCTCGATAAGTATAGACATAAAACGGTTCCCATCTAAAAGCATCAAGCTTTCTGGGGTGTATGGTTACATGTCATCCCCTTGTCAAGCGGAGATTCCCAGGACTGACGGAAGTAACCCTTCCTACCTACTTCGACACAAACAGAAACGTGCCTCTCTTTCAGGACGCTCTTTTATTCTATTTGATTGCCAGACGTAGAAATAAAGGTCTGTTGTCTTTGTTTCTTCCGAACGACGATTTAGCAGGAAAATCATGGAAGATATTGGAATAGATACACGTAAACGTTTGAAGAAGATACGTTATACATTGATTTATGATTGACGTTTGAGTGATTTATTATATAGGGTGTTTGATTGACACTTTAGTGATTTATTATGGGGTGTTAATGGCTACCATTTGGTATACCGAAGATGCTGCGAATGTTAATGAAATTTTTGGTCAATGCTTTCAAATCCTATCTATAATTTTCTATCACAAATACAATTATTAATATTCAATTTTTCAGGTAAATTTTATTGAAACTTCGCTGATTAAACAACAAATTAGTTATTTTTAACCGACTTCGATAAAGGAGGAGGTTATTAAAAAAAATAACTGTTACTTCAAGGGTTTCAATCTTTTTTATTCTATTTCTCTTTGTTTGCTTGTTTCTCCCTCGGCGTTGAAAATATGGAAGCAGGTTGGCTTTGTGCAAAAGTGTTTCCAACGTGATAAGTTGACACTGCTTTCTCGGGCACAAAAAAGAAGTTTCTTTGTGAGATAAACCTTTTCATAGGAACGCCGAGTTGTCGTGGGAAGGTTTTCGTGAAAGTAAAACTGATTCTTCCATAAAATCAGAGAACCTTTAACATAGTATTCTATTACCCTTATTCTTTATGTTAAAGTTTAGAATCGTATTCCAAAACTCTTCATTATCTGGTATCATCAAACTTCACACGTTACAATAATTGTAATCAAATTGTTTCCCATCTAATGTAATTTCCCATATTATCTTTTCATTTTCCATAGATTCTCTGGATAGAATCGTGAAAAATTGTAAGAATTATAAATGAAATTTCAGATACGTGGCGATTTGTCACCCATTCATCTCCCACACGATGTCGAAACTATCTCGAGCAGTGAAATTTGTGATCGCGATATGGTTCACGGCTCTTTGCCTGGCTGTGCCGCAAGCGATTCAATTTGGGGTCATTTATGATTACGGTCACAATGGTTCAGTGATTACGGACAGCGCCAGATGCTCGCTTAAGTGGATTCTGATAGATCACGCGTTCGAAATATCAACGATGCTGTTCTTCGTGGTACCCATGACGATTATTACTGTTCTCTACATCCTGATCGCGATCAAACTGAGGAGATCGAGACTATTGACAGCCAGCACCGTAAAGAGGAATCACTTACCAGCTGGGTTGAATCATTGCGAAAGCGGAAGAGGGAAGACTACTGCTCAGAGAAACGTTATTCGTATGTTGGGTGAGTCAATATTCAATTTTTCAATTTTACAAATTCCAACGTTTCTAAATTTCTAATTTTACAATTTTACAAGTTCCTAAGTTTCTAAATTTCTAATTTTCCATATTCCTAAACTACTGAATTCCTAAATTTAGAACGAAGAGGATTTCTGCCTGAGGATTTGAATAGATTAATAATAGCAAACGTGGTTGATCTCGGAAGTGAATGATTTGTCTTTATTGTTTGACCAACTGCGAGTGTCCTTTCGGACGTGCTGGAGGATCAGTCGGTCTTACGTTTCCATAAAAATAGCTTCGTAGGTGATAAATTCTTTGACGAGCTTTAACACGATCTTAATCCACACGAAGAATTTATTATCCTCCTTCTGCAATCGTTGCTATTTGAAAGTGTCTTAGAATTCCATAGAATTCTTCGATTCTCCTTGCTCTTATTCTTATAACTTATTCTTCCTGAAATTCATTGGAATTCCTTCAGAATTCTCATCGAACCCAATGCGATGAAACAGCAAGGTTTCAGAGGTTCGCGCAGAGGTTGATCCAACAAACGTGATCCCTCTGAATTCCTTATATCCTAGTAAAGGTCCAAGATAACACATCAGACGTCTTATCACGAGGATGCTCGATAATTGAATTAGCTACCATAAATTCGATCGATACCGTTTCCCTAAAGTTTTTTTTTCGGTCGCCTGTATACTGGTACGTGACTATCTGAATGTTTCCAAAAGGTAGTCCCGTAAAATCGAACGACCTCGTGATTTCGGGCAGTTTATGGTGGCATGCGGTCAGGACCCCTCGCCTTTGTATTATATCGACAACCATATCCAATAGAACGAAACCATTACCGACACCACCGTATAGAACAAACTCATCACGCGGCTACGCATTCTCTACGCACTTTGGTCCAACTTCCATAAACGTTTTAGGATATTTTTTTTTTAGAACTATCCTTGCACTCTTCCCTTTTTTGTAATTAATTTCTTATGCTTTAAATCGATGTGCCACGTGTGCCATTTTGAAATACTTTTATGTGATGAAATTTTGCCAGAATCGATACTTGTTTTGAAATAGTGCATTCGATATGCACCAACTTGATGGAAAATATGATTCTTGTCTACACGTGTTCAATAAAACTCAGCCTGATAAATGCGCCACGTGTAGCCACGAAGGAATAGAATAAAAGAAAAGCACGTTTGTTCGTTCGATGGGGGAAGAAGAATATTTTTCTTCCACGTGCATCAACATCGATTTTCCATGCCGTTAACGTCTTTCTTGGCTCGCCTATTCTCGGAGAATTCTACTTGATCACGTTCGAGGGAAAGTTCGCTTAGCTATATCACTGAAACCAGCTTATATGATTTTGTTTTAGTGCCGTTTATTAGTGTTGAAAATGTCGTAATTCATGTTGCAAAAGTTAAGATTTGCAAATAGGCAAATTTCTAATTTTCCAAGCATCCAATTTTCTAATTTTCTAATTTTCTAAATTTCCAAATATCCAATTTTCTAAATTTCTTAATTTTCCCTTTAATTAAGCTCCACCTTAATTACTTCCCCAACAAAAAGGTTACATACATTTATATCCTTTAACAGAATATATCTTTCCCTCGTAAATCCTTTTTTCTCGCTGCCTTTTGGAAACTTAATTTTTTTTCTCGACGACTATATATTTTCGATTATTCACTACGATATTTTTGTCACAATGATAAAAGCGTTTACGTTGTTAAGAAATCGTCGCGAAGAGTCGTGAAGCCTTCTTTAGTTCATATAAACTTTGAAATACGAGGATAATAAAATTTCACCAACAACTTTTCCTTCGATAAATCTTAGGCCAAATTGTCCAAGTTTGTTTATGACGCTTCCTGTTTTGACAATTTGATTGTCACGACGAAAACTTGTTGACCAAATCGCATTAATTTTACATTACACAACTATTCCATAAATAATTATTTAAATAAAACTTGACTTTTATTTATTCACTATTTCACTTCAACAGGTAGTTCTCGGTTTCAGTTTATTCACAAATAATTTTAAAGCATAAACTGTAATACTTTCCATAAACCTTGGCTCGTTTTCACATAAATTCCTGATGTACATACCAACTTTATTTCAAGTCATCAAAGTCTGTTTATGGAGTATCAACTTTCGTTAAGTACTTAATGGAATATTTCTCTACACACTGAGGATTTCAATTTACTTAAATTATAAAGTTATTTCCATTTCCTTCTGACTGTTTATATAACATTTCCATACAGATGTAACAATTTATTTATCAGAAACCACTTCATTTACTTCCGAAACAGTAGCAAGTATAAATACATTTCCAACACTATTTTCATCTCAATTCACAAAGTTGAAACAAAATGTAGGTCACTTATGCCATAAAGTTTCATATTTACACAAAAGCACCGAAAAGTAAACACTTCATTCTTCGGCTGTTCATTCAGAAACCCAAATTATCACACGTGTTACCTTCAAAAACGTTCGAACATTGTTTCCTTTGTTAATTTATGAGATTGTTTATAGCCAATGGCTGAAATTAGCCCGATTAAACGATTTATGCTTCTGTTTAATTCCCATTCATCATCAATTAGTAATTGAATCAAGTTAAACATGTATAACATTTATAAATCATAATTTAATCAAATCAATAACCCAAAATTCATTTTTAAAATTCATTCCTATTCATTTTTATTTTATACAACTGAATGCACATCATGATTGAACGTATTGAGAAGGATGCAATTCTGCTGGATCTTTCGTGATTTACGTAAGCAAATCGATCAGGAAATAGATCGCATTCTCAGTAGACCTTGTCGAATGTTAAACAAATCGGTGCTGCCAAAATATCGCTGTAAATAGATCCTTCGAAATGGTCATTGCTAATTCGAAAAGAGGAAAGGAATAAAAATGACAAAACACTCTTGTTCAGTTTCCAATCTATTGTTTTGCAATTTGCAATCTAAAAATACCACTTGTAGCCTTGAAACTTTAATTACGATAATGATTCAAAGCAAAAATAATCGAAATGAAGTTGCTAAACGAAGCTTATCAGACCAGTGGTTCCAAGGATCTCGAAACTGTCGCGTTTCGATCGTATCCGAAATGTTGAAAAAAGATAATGCTGCTCTCGAATTTACGAGTACACAGGGGGCCGGTTAATCTTCATCCTCCTTCTATATTTACCGAACGGAAGATAACGGTAACAAAAATTACAAACGTCATGAGCCGAAATTCGAGGGGCGGAGGATAGATTAGTAATATATTGCCACCAAAATCGATACGAAATTATCGGACAATGAATGTCGGTTATTTTTACCAGCGATACGGATGTTGAAAAACATTCCCCTGATGACGGCTGGCTTTTATGGATTTTGTTTTTCGAAAGCAAAGAGACAAATGAATTTTTACGAAAATTCAATGTTCTGGCTTTCAAGCAAATGGATGAATAAATGAATTGAAAGGAAAAATAAAATAAAAACCTGCCAATGAAAATATCATAAAGCACCATTTTTTAAATAAAAAATTCAAAGCTTGAATATTAAAATTAATTAGTAATTAGCAACATTCCAAATGAGCAGCCTGCAATGACTGTTCCCAGAGGAAGGGTGAAAACACGATCGAAAGGAATTGTTCATAATACTCGTTGTGTATTTTCTTTCGATACGAATACGTTCAGGTGCATGTTTTCAATTTATTGCCAGAAACAATCGCGTGATTCGGTTGATTGTTTCTGAATGGCGCGTTTCACTGTCGTGTGACGGATTATGTATCGAAATCGAGTCTCTCAGTTCGCTTATATTACAGCTGCACGCTATTTGCTACGACTGTATAAATCGTTCCCTGTCAAATATTTACTGGGAAAATAAACGCAATCGCGTGTTCCCCCCGTTTCTACTTGCGAGAACTCAATCGTTCGTTGATTCCAGTTTTAAACATTGAAATAATGGTATTAAGATAAATATTTTGATCCGTGTTTGGCTGGTGTGTATTCTACTAAATTTGGGGTACATTGTTCCGTTCTGAAACAGAACGTATAGGATTCCCCAATTAAGAAAAATGTGAAGAGACATATTTAAATTGGAATTTTCTGAAATCAAGTATTTATTTTCCTCGAAAAAGAAAAGAAACATTCTGCATTGTTTCTCTCGAGTTTTTAACCCCGGTAGTTTGTTTTGGAAGCTCTGGAGTATCCTAAATTCCTAGCTTCTCTCATCCTTTCCCTTATTATTCTTTGTTTTTGCTCGGGGGTGGTTTTAAAGAAGCACCCTGCTGGAAATTCAGTCACGAAACTGACCCGGTTAATTAGAAGTCTTTCCGTTTAAGAATCGTTGAAATTATTGCTGTTACGTGAAACACAGCCGTGTAATACCTTGAACCCCGGGCTATTTATAAAGAAATAAAGCAAGGAGTTAACGGGTTGAAAACGTATCGTAATAAATCGTGTACGTAAATGGACGAGCAACAGCCTGCTATCGAAGTCGATAATGCACTGTGGATGCATTTCGTTGCATGATATGTCGGGTTAAAATAGACCTTGTTGCAACGATGATGTCTCGTTATCAGCTTCCGGTTTTAGTTTTATTGATCGTGTACGTTTTATAGCTTCCGTGAATTGAACCAATGCCGTCGCTATTGTTGTGAGAAACTAGTATTATTTCATTCAGTATTAATTTTGTATTGGTGCATCGGTGCTAGGCGCCACAGAGCTCTTCATCCTTCAATAAATTGTAAAAATAAAAATGAAGAGAATATATAAACGCCGATAAAAGTTTTTAGATAGCAATTTATCTTTTCTGGATAATTAGACATTCAGAGCCGTTACTTTTTTATTATAAATATTCGTCCTCGGAACAAATCATCGTATAAAATAACCGAAAGCCAAGCAAACGAACGACAATTTATTTCTTGAAAAATATTTATCATCATAAATTTTGGGAATCCTATAACTTCAGCGCTCCGATCGCTATTCATCGAAGAATTGCTCAACTCGAATGTGAGAAAATAAAGGGAAATGACAATGATACTTGGCGGAGCAGTTGCGAGACGATGTAAATTTATCGTTCGTTTGGGAAATCGATGTCTCGAAAATATTTATTCTACCCCCTTTCGTTACAATTGGTCATTGATTTATCGCGGTAGCGTGAGTTCCTTGACGCCTTGTATCGGTAGACCTCCTCCCAGGAGGATTTCTCGAATGATGGATAAGCAGTTATTTTTTATTCAAAACAAGTATGGAAAAAAAAGGTGTGACCTATGGAACGACATTTTTCATGAAATAAGAATTTCGCGACACCCGAGGAAGAATTGAAAGAATGTTGTCACTTTAGTTGCAGTGGTGGTGGCGTTTTTCATTTGCTGGGCACCGTTCCACGCCCAAAGGTTGTTGGCTGTCTACGCGCAGAATACCAACACGGAACCGGAAGACGCGTTAGTAATGGTCTACACCATCCTCACATACGTGTCAGGGGTGTTTTATTACCTTTCCACCACCGTGAATCCGCTGCTGTACAACATCATGTCCAACAAATTCAGGGAAGCCTTCAAGGTGAGTTATTACCTAAGAATTCTTAATTAAACATTCGATTGAAATTCGAACCTGTCTTACTTAAAATCATTAATCAGAAAAAGTTAATGAAATTTAATTGAATTAAAATTAATTGAAAATGATACGAAAATTTTAAATAAAACATAGTGCGTTAACCAAAATGAAGTTAACTTCCAGTCGATGCTGTCGAATCACTGCGGCCGGAAGTGGTCCTCCCGGAAGTCAGTCCCACGACAACCGACCTACAGCAGCCTGTCAAGGTATCCAAGGTCCACGAGGCAAGCGGATGATCGTCAGAATTCACCATCAATATCCTTCAGTGACGACAATCAAAAGCTGACGACGAGCATCCGTCGTACAACGATCTCGAGCGATCTGAACGGATCGGCTGAAAGGAAGAATCAAGAGAATCGTTCGAAAATGAATAGGATAAATCATCATAGGGAATACGGGAGAAGCATGTCCAGAGGATCGAATTCCAGTCAATTGACTTTGATGACTTCGATCAGCAAAAGTTTTAACGAAGGAAATAATAACGTGGCTGCAGCATGCGTGAACGAGTGTCTGTTGAAGATTCAATCGCCACCCAGGGCTATCACTCTTGGTAAATTTTTTATTTTATTTATTAATCGTTTTATTATTTATTAGTACGGGTGTTTTGTTTTTTAAACAGGAATAATTGCTGAAAGATTGAGACTAGGAACCAAGGGTCTGTTTTCACCCCAACAGAAAGTACCAACGATTCCCATGTCGAAACCGGAAATTAAAACGGAACCACGGTTTCAAAGTCATCCTAGTATAGAGAGTGCGAACACTATTAGCAATTCGAGCTTACAGGATTTTGACGAGACTGAGTTTACTGGTACGGAACTGGCGCGATACATGGGTGAAATGAACTGCGACTCGGTCACTTGACCCTCGCATCCGGAAACGAGTGGACAAGTTTCTCCGGCGAATGAGATTTCTTAAGGAAATGTAACGTCTCGAGAGGCGTCGAGTATTGAGAGCTAAGGAAATCTGAGAAACTGGAAAATTGGGAAACTTCAGAATCTGAAAAATTGGAATAATTTACAAACTTCAGAGTTTCAGAAATTGAAATATTAGAAGCTTAAAAAATTTGAGAATATGAAGAAACTTGAGAACTCAATGTTTGAGTAATTATAAACTTTGAGAAATTATAAAGTGAGATTTCCTCGTGTCTAAATATTTTAAAGAAAAGTGTGTATAGTTATAACGATGTTACGATCGACAAGTTATTGTTTAAACAACATATTATTTCATCACTTTCAAAATATTTTGTTAACAGTTTACAATAACTGTTTGAAATTATTCGAGAAGAATTGAACTATTTATTCATTTCTGCCGTTTGGCAAGTGCAAAATTTGTACTTCGAAGTGCAACATAACGATACATATATTTATTAACAATTGAAACGAAGATGTTATTAAATAAATGTTAAAAAACCTGACTGTAAGATTGACAAAGAAAGATACTTCGTACTTACAATGAAATTTTTCATTTGAAAAAACTTTGAATTTTGTTTCAAAGAAAGAATAATCTATAATAGATGTTATAAATAACACAAAAAGAAGACAATTAACAATTATTTTCCATTCCATCATTCAACCTTACTTTTCTGCAAAATAAAAAAAAAGGATCAATCTTAACAAGGAACATACCCTCTCACTGATCCATATCGTATCAAACAACATAATTAATCATAATTCAACCGCACAGTTACATCCCCTTTCCTATCAAAGAACCAATCAATCAATCACAATCCCCCAACATGTTTTCCCTCCTCAAATACAAAATATAAAATGTATTCGATAAAATATTTATTTGTCGAATGTACATAACAAAGTGTGCAAATTAGGAATACTTTTAAAATTAATTACAATTCTCTAAAATAAGAATGATTATTGACCATTCGGTATCGAGCATGAAATATGAAATAAAAAACAAATCATTTGAAATGATAAGACAGTAGAGATCTTATCCTCGTCACGTCTAGAACAGGCCTTTTGGGCGTTGGTCCAGATAAGCCTTGATCTTCGGCAACGATCTTACTTTATCCACCAACTTCTTCAGCTCTGGGTAATCCTTGTTCACGTCGGACTCGTTGATGGCGGACAACATTTCTGATGTGGCGGAGTACAGAAGATCAGCCCAGGAAAGCTATGAAAATAGGTAACAAATAGTTTTATAAAAATGAAAAAGAATATTACATTTTTCTAATCTTGGTCGAAGCATCATCAGCATTACAGAAATTACAAAATCAACAAAAATTATGCAATAACAAATTACCTTTCCGCCAACGAAGTATCCTCCATTCTTCTTCACCTGTGCTTCGAGTTTCTGAAGAATGGTGGGTCGTTTGGTTTCAAGTGCCTCCTTCAACCTACCCTTGGCAGCGGGGTCCTTCTCCCAGTAATATTGTGAAAATGCTGAGAAAGAAGAAATATTATCCACAGGACTACTCTAATTTTAAATCGTTAATTAATTTATTAGAAATACTCACCAACTCTCAAGTCATCGATTGTGTCAACGGTAGCGTCGATTTCGTATGATTCCTGTTCGTTGGAACCGCTTAAGTTGTTCTTCCTTGCAAGGAAACGACAGATGGCTTTCGATTGATGGTAAGGTTTGCCGTCGATTTCCAAAACGGGCACCTGACCCAATGGCATCTCTGAAAATTGATGATAAGTATTCCGAATTTTAACATTATTGCGGGTAGATAAGATTCTTGAATCTTTTTTCTCGAGCAGGTTAAGTCACCTCGAGCGTTTAGTATCGCTTAGCATACTCACGAGATTTAAGTTCGGGCCATTCTTCGAAGGTCAGTCTCTTGTCTTCGAATTTGATGCCACTTTGGTGCAAAATGAACCTGATTGGTTCACCGAGCCCGCTGAGATTGAAGTATGTTAACTTATAGTTGGACATTTTCTGTAATTAGAAATTGCAATATTATTTAATAATAGAAGTCAATATCTGAAATGTCCTATGGCACAATGGTAGGTGAAAAATATGAAATTTGCAAAGTCACTATTTACAATTGCTGTTATAAATTTTAAATATCATTATTTGTTGGTATAATAACCACGGTTATTTTATCTTCCCGGTAACCGAGGTTTTCTTTTTTCTTTTTTAATTATATATAGATAATTGAAGTGTAAAAAAAAAGGAAGGTAATATTTGATCTGATAATGGTATATCTACTGTATTTAAAATTCGCCAAGTTTTTATGAATTCGAAAAGAATTCTTGTATAACTTAATAACTTATTTTAATTTTAATTGAAGAACAGGAAACTCAGTTGTTGATTACTAAACACGGTAACTATTGATTGCAGGTTATCAAGGAATCCAAGGTAAAAAATAAATAGCGTACATTATCGTGTATCTTGAATTTCTAACTTCTATTAGTACAGCGGAGTTTAATCGTTTTCCTCTTATCCTTCGTTCGATTAAAAACCTTCAAGTTCGCGATACCAGGACAAGAACAAACTGAAACCATCATTTTTCATCCGAGTAATGGAACGACAATAGGTGTCAAAAAGTTTGAAAAATAGATAAAATAGATGAATGGGAAGGAAATTAATTGACAGAGAGAAATGTTGGTCACCGGTTAATACCACGGTCGATACCAATTGGTATGACTAATAGTGGGAGGCGATCTTAGATACCGCTAAATCAGCGTCAATGTCAGGCTAGTTGCATTGCCTGCTTTCGTGTAACAATGTTCTACGAATCGCCGGTGATGATTCTTTTAGAATGTTCTCGAATGTGCGCTGTCGTTGGTTGCGCGACTGACCTTCTACCATCGTTCGAACAGAATTACTCTCTAACTATGTAGAAGGCTAGCAGAAGATAGAAAAATAGATAACAATAAATGTATGCGGTTGTAGAAATAAATTTACTTGTCCAATTTGAAATAGATTGAGGTTGAATTATATTTTTGCAGCAATAGAAGAAGACGAGGAAATGGAAATAGGATTAGTAATAATAATTTGAAACAGCAAGTTGTAACATTATTTTTAATAGCTTTGAAAATCAATATTGCGTGCCGGACTGTGTATTGATATTTCTACTGAAGCGGTCAAGGTGATAAATAATGTACAGTATAGTACCGTATAACTTCACAATTTTTTGCAAATACTAATTCCCGCGGTTCGCAATTAATCCGAGTTACTAACTTCCTGTTTCAATGACTAATGACAACGACCTTCTCTCGCAACTAGAAGAACATATTTATGTTTATCGTCTAAATTTCTGGTACTGGAATCTTGGACACTTCGGCGAACTACAGAGAATACTACTATTTGTGATCATCCGAATTAATTATCGTGGTAAAATGTTAAAATTGGGAATGCTTCGCCTACAAAGGGTTAATGTTAGAATGGGTCATCGGGAAAGGCACGTCTTTAATATAGCGAAAGAAGAGGTATTTTTTAATTAAACTTAAAATGACAGGAAGAGCAAATGCAAAGTGTAATAAATGTAGTGTGGTACCAAGTTACTGCAACTAAGTATTAGAACTTAATTTTTCACTCAGCACTTGAAGTGTTTGTATAAAATTGTTGAATAAGTTGACACTTACACAAAAATTTAACTGAGAGCAATTTTGGAAGAATTACTAGAACTGACGATCTCTGGAGAGCTACTGACTCTATAAACAAGGCCTAGATCCTACTTATTCTCTTTGCGTCATTCACCGTATCTACAGTCCCCCACCATGCAGGAAACGGTGTGGTGGTGCAACCAAAACACTCCGGATGATAAATCAACAATTTTTGCTGACAAAACTCATGCAATCAATCAGATACTTATCCTTATAAGAACAATATATTGAAATAGATATTTTCGTGAATGAGTTATTGAAAATTCACACCCCATTTTTCTATGGAAAAAAAATTCGTTAAAAGTTTAAAGTTATTAATTACTGCAAGAAAAGTTGAAATAGAGTTTTCTTTTTAATTTATAATTACTGAAAAAATTTGGAGTAGAATTTTTTCAATAAAGGATTTGAAATTTTATGAATTAATTATTGAGAATTATAAATGATAAGAACTTTTCAATTTTAAGAATTAAACTTCCCTTTTTTTGTGATTGATTCTGTGGAAAATTATCGAGGATTTTTTAAGTATCCTTCGAGTTTCTTTTTAAGGAAAAAATTACTTTTTAACGAAGTACAGTTTTATTTCATTCTGTTATAGAGCAGAAAAAGCGAGTTCAGAGAACTTCATGATTCTGCAAGTCACCGAAGCCTTGAAGAAATAAAACTCACGGCGGGCGTATTTACTTTGGTTACGTGATTCAGCTTTGAAGATAAAACTGCACACGCTTTTACAATGTTAACAGTTTTTTTTAGATCGTTAACTACCATATAAGGATCACCAGTGATCAATAAATTCAATGTTTATCCAGTAATAAAAAGAAAACATATTCTGAACATATTGAAATTACATTAATCATTGAAAGATAGCAAATTGAGAAATTAATTATTTAATAACATCATGTAAAATACCAGATATGATAATCAAATATTGAATAATATGTTTCAGTTCGCTTTATCAAATGTCATGGATGATTTAAAAATTTATTTTAGTAAAAAATACATTTCATCAAGCAGATTATCCAAAGTGCTAAGTTGTAATCGTTTAGATATCATTTTCGTCTTCATCAGTTATATAATGACTTGAATTAACGTTGTCATTGTATATCGGAAAGTGAGTCAGCGTCCAATAAATAGCAACACATGAACCAGGTATCGGTACAGTTATTACTTAATATCAATTGCGTAACATTGTGTAAGTCCATAAATCGATGTCCTGATAGAATTGATATTGATTTACGAGTTATTCAAGAATGAACAGAAAAGAAAAACACGAACAATAGTTCGAAAAAATACTAAAAATATTAAGAAAACAAAAAATAACAAAAAACAAGAAAATTAGAATGAAGATTCTCCATAAGCTTTTTCGAGATTAAAACCATATCTTGAAGCCTACGTTATACCCGGGTGTTAAGTATTGATTACTGATTACAACATTTTCTACTTTGTTTCTTATCGATTACAATTTGTTATAGATGCCAGTCACGCATAATTATCTCCATTTATGGATCTGTAAGACATCCGAAGGTGAGACAAGGTAATTAATTTTACATGAACTGAAAGGCGATCGATTTTCCGGTTTAGAGATTGATACAAAATACACAATAAGTCAGATATTATAATTTTAATTAACACTAAGTACTTGTCGCACTTCTCCATTTTGCAAAGTGCAATTAAATTCAAGTGATCTATATTTTATTTCATGACAGTATTACCCATATCCAAGAACCAGCTCTTTAGATTATTTTCCACGGGTAATCGTATCTTGTTTGCTGTGACCGATTTTATATATTTTTCTGCAGCAGAAATGAGATACTCGACCTCAGAGATAAAGGTACACCTTATCATTTGCGATAAGGTGTTTTTGCACGAACACTCGCTTCGATTCTCATTCGATTGGAGGACAATTCTTTTATTAATAAGTCTATTTTTTGATACATGAAAATCCAATTCAGATTTATTTAGAAGACTCCAGACACTAAAGAAGGTCGAAACGGTTAATAAAATGAACTATTTATTGTGATATAAAAGTAGAATATAATTTCAACTGTTTATGGTATACAAATATCTCTTCAGAGTATATAAATACTCTTATTGTACTGTTCAACTGTGTATTCACGTCTTAATCTAGAATAAGCCTTAATTAACTAGCACAGATGTTGTTAATAGAAGAGATTCATAACAATTCTGCACAAGCTTCGCTTGTGCGTATACAACAGTTTTTCGCGCGTTACAATTTTCTTCTGGCTGTTAACTTGACGTACAAAAAAAAAGGACAGTGATAGGAAGTCGAAGATTTAAAAGTCGGCTTTGGGACAATTCTCGACCCAGCTCTTAATTTGGGGTATAGCGAGAACCTTCTTCTTTAATTGTGTCAAATTCTCGTATTTCTCGATGATGTTGGATCCCATCATGTAGTTCAGGTAGTCGAGCAGAGCGACGAAAGCAAAGTCAGCCCAGGTTAAAGCACCACCCACGAAGTAACCACCGTTTTTCTTCACCTGAGCGTCTAAACGTTCCAAGTAGAATGGCACCAACTCTTGGGCAGCCTTCTTTTTCTCAGCCTTGACTTGCTCATTGGTCTCATAAAAGAAAGCACCAATCTCTGAAAAATAAAAATTGTTGTTCAGATAACCATAGAAATCATATTAGAAAGTGTATAATTGATACTTACTTAGGCGAAGATCATGAATGGTGTCAACAGTAGAATCAATTTCAAGGGCTTCCCAATCATTCTTACCAGCCACACCAAACTGTTTAGCCAAGTAACGGCATATAGCTACAGATTGGCACACTTCCTTTCCATCAACTTCCAATACAGGAACTACGCCAAATGGCATCTCTAAAAATATCAAGGGAGACAGACTCTTTCTTTAAATCATTACACTAAAATTGCATAAATCTATCAATTCTTATTTACTTATTTATTCAGTGTTACATAGATTTATTGTTTCCTGTATGATTATTAAAAGTCATAATTTCACTTCATTGATGATTTATCTGTTAGCGTCAAGTCCTCTATAGAGGAGACGCACGTGTCAGAGGTCGATGCATTCAAGGACTTTAACCGACCTTCCTGGATTCTCTAGGCTACCAACACCCCGAGCCATATGTCTGTCATCGGACTTGGGCCGTCGGTAATTGATACTCGAGGTGCGACGAATTCTAAGAGTCGCGGATGTTTTGTTTATGGAACGGCGATAGAGAGTTCGATCGCCGATCCTCGAAGCAACGCGCATGTGGCCGATGATCCGAAGTCATGGTGCCGCATGGCACGTGTAAAAGATAAGGATTTTCTAGAAGGATCTGGCCACGGAGTGGGAAAGATTTTTGATCTTCTGGTAAGAGGACCATGAGGGACGGCATGGCACTTGCCTCAGAACCTCGGATAAAGATTGATCGATCGCGTATTAGAAGTCGATATTAACATATCAATGAACAAGTGGCATTGTACTCGTGATAATAGCTATTGTCTTTAAGATATCTCATGGAAAGTTAAACAACAATCTTCATTGTAAATTATATAAACATCCTATGATATAGGCCACATTTTTACTAAGTGTAACAACATTATCCAACATTATTTATAAACAAATGAAATTAGTTTAAAATTCAAATTCACCAGGCTTTAGTTTTGGCCAGTCTTCTGTGTTAAAGCGGTAGTCCTCAAATTCAACTCCACCATAGCTGAAGAGAAAGCGGATTGCCTCTGCCAAACCTTTACCTGGGAAATAAGTTAGTTTGTAATGGGGCATCTTGCTGTAACAGAAAACATACAATCAGTTAAATAAACAGAAAAAATTTATTACAAAATATTAAATACTCTATAACAAACGCATTTCCAAGATGCTGAATGAACTATCAAACAGTAAAAATAAAAAATCAATACATACAGTTAATTTTTTTGTTAGACGACGTTAAATACAAAACTAACTGCTGAATACTGGCCGGCAAATTGTAGTTGACAGAAACTGGTGCGGTATTATATATATATATATGCTATCCTTCGTAACCTACCTAGCGGTACTCTTATTGGTTGAGATCTACCGGTATATACCAAACAGATATGAGATTAGAAACATCCAGAAACATTAGTCATAAGTTTGATGACTTATACGTTTACAAATTCTAACGAATCAAAGGCAATTTTTTTTTAAATAAAAATGAATAAGAATTAGATTCATATAAAAAGATTAATAAAAAAGATTAAATAAAGTTACATAAGACAGTAAAGCCCGTTGCTTTCTGTTTATAATGTGAATCAGCGCCGTCATATAAGGCAACGCAAAGTAGAATCAGGAAGGCGCCAATGTTTAAAGAGCGTTAAATAGGAAAAGTTACATATACTATATTATCCAATTCAATCATAACATTGTTGCACAACGTTATGCAACTTGATACTAAAGTAATATTAAACTATAGTGGTATCGGTTATGAAAATGCAAGAATTTCAGCGATTTGTAAATGGTAGAACGTAGTTCTATTAGTACCAACTCTCTACCAGTAGATGGCTAAAGCGTTTCCGTGTCCACAAAACGCAATTTTTCTACTTTGTTTCATACCGATTTCAATTTGTTACAGACACTAGTCCCGCATAGTTAATGGGAAGGTGATCGATTTTCCACTGTAGAGAATGATACAAAGTACACAATAATTCAGAGATTATAATTTTAATTAACACTAAATATTTATCGCACTTCTCCATTTTGCAAAGTCCAATTAAATTCGAGTGATCTGTATTTTATTTCATGACAGTCTTACTCATGTCCAAGAACCCGCCCTTTAGATTATTTTTCACGGACAATCGTATTTTGTTGGCTGTGAAAGATTTTTTATTTTTTCTGCAGCCGAAACGAGTACACCTTATCATTCGCGATAAGAAGCTTGTTTTTGCGCGAACACTTGGTCCGATTCGTGTTCGATTGAATTCTTTTATCGATCAATCTATTTTTTGATACATGAAAATCCAATTCAGATTTATTTAGAAGACTCTGGATGCTAAAGAAGGTCGAAACGGTTAATAAAATGAACTGTTTATTGTGACATAAAAGTACAATATAATTTCAACTGTTTATGGTATACAAATATCTCTTTAGGGTACATAAATACTCTTATTGTACTGTTCCACTGTGTATTAACGTCCTAATCTAGGATAAGCCTTAATTAACTGGCACAGATGTTGCTAATAAACATTGCAAGGGATTCAAAACAATTCTGCACAAGCCTCGCTTGTGTGTATACAAAAATTCACAATCTTCTTTTGACTGTAAACTTGACGTACAAAAAAAAAACTGATAGGAAGTCGAAGATTTAAGCATCGGATTCGGGACGTTTCGCAACCCAGCTCTTAATTTGGGGTATAGCGAGAACCTTGTTCTTCAATTGTGTCAAATTCTCGTATTTCTCGATGATGTTGGATCCCATCATGAAGTTCATGTAGTCGAGCAGAGCGACGAAAGTAAAGTCAGCCCAGGTAAAAGCACCGCCCACAAAGTGGCCACCGTTTTTCTTCACCTGAGCGTCTAAACGTTCCAAGTAGAATGGCAGCAACTCTAGGGCAACTTTCTTTTTCTCAGCCTTGACTTGCTCATTGGTCTCATAATGATAAGCACCAAGCTCTGAAAAATGAAAATTATTGTTCAGATATCCATAGAAATCATATTGGAACAGTGTATAATTGATACTTACTTAGGCGAAGATCATGAATGGTGTCAACAGTAGAATCAATTTCAAGGGCTTCCCAATCATTCTTACCAGCCACACCAAACTGTTTAGCCAAGTAACGGCATATAGCTACAGATTGGCAGACTTTCTTTCCGTCAACTTCCAATACAGGAACTTGGCCAAATGGCATCTCTAAAAATATCAAGAGAGGCAGAGTCCATCTTTAAATCATTATACTAACATTCCATAAATCTATCAATTCTTATCTACTTATTTATTCAGTGTTACATAGATTTATTGTTTCCTGTATGATTATTAGAAGTCATAATTTCACTTTATTGATGATTTATCAATGGACAAGGGGCATTGTGCTCTTGACAATAGCTATTGTCTTTAAGATATCTCATGAAAATTTAAACAATCTTCATTGTAAACTATATAGACATCCTATGATATAAGGTACATTTTTACCAAGTGTAAAATAAATGAAATTAATTTGAAATTCAAGTTTACCAGGCTTTAGTTTTGGCCAGTCTTCTCTGTCGAAGCGGTGGTCCTCAAATTCAACTCCGCCATAGCTGAAGAGAAAGCGGATTGGCTCTGCCAAAGCTTTAACTGGGAAATAAGTTAGCTTGTAATGAGGCATCTTGCTGTAACCGAAAATATAGAATCAGTTAAATAAACAGAAAAAAATTATTACAAAATATTAAACTTTATTAATATGTTAATAAATTTAGCAGCCTTTTCGCTAAAAGTTTCATAAAATCAAGAAAAAGCATTCGTTGCTTTCAAGAAATATTTCTTTGTGTTAACTTTGCAACGTGGAGATTTTATCGTGCGAATTCTTCTCACGCCATTCGACGTCCTCCGAATGGCATTTTCGAACTATTCTTAGACAAATGAATAAATATTCTAGCCACAGAAAGTTAAATTTTAGGGATTCAATTTACCGCCGATTTTTGAATACGTTTTTATTATGTTTAATAACCGGTTATAGGTCAATGATACCGAACTGATATTTGCGGGAGTTCAATACATTAACACAATCTCTATCATCCATGTGGAACGCTTTCAAATACCGATATGAGATCGTAATTTTTTGCATGTATTTTAAAACAGGTATAAGTTAATCTAAAAAATGATATACAAACGACTCGCACGATTTGAAATTATTTTATTTTATAAAAAAATAGTCTGTAACAAACGCATTTCCAAGAAGATGCTGGTAGCCGAAATATTTATTAGCATGGAAATAAAACCAGGCAACGTTTAATGAACAAAAAATATGAACTATCAAACAGTAAAAATAAAAAATCAATACTTACAGTTAATTTTTTTGTTAGACGACGTTAAATACAAAATTAACTGCTGAATACCGGCCGGCAAATTGTAGTTAAAAGAAACTGGTACGGTATTATATATGTATGCTATCCTTCTTAATCTACCTAGCGGTACTCTTATTGGTTGGGATCTGCCGGTATATACCAAAACAGATATGAGATTAGAAACATCCAGAAACATTAGTCATATGTTTGATGACTTATACGTTTACAAATTTTAACGAATGAAAGGCAATTTTTAAAAAAATAAAAATGAATAAGAATTAGATTCATATAAAAAGATCAATAAAAAAGATGAAATAAAGTTACATAAGACAGTAAAGCCTGTTGCTTTCTGTTTATAATGTGAATCAGCGCCGTCATATAAGGCAACGCAAAGTAGAATCAGGAAGGCGCTAACGTTTAAACAGCGATAAACAGGAATGGTTACATATATTATATTATCCAATTCAATCATAACATTGTTGCACAACGTTATGCAACTTGATACTAAAGTACTATAGTAATATCGGTTATAAAAATGCAAGATATTCAGCGATTTGTAAATGATAGAAGGTAGTTCTATTAGTACCAACGTTCTACCAGTAGGTGGCTAAAGCGTTTCACTGTCCACAAAACGCAATTTTTTAAATTTTCTATTTGAATGTTTTAAATGCACAACCATACCACTATTCGAATTTTGACTATAGAACATGTTACTTACATCAATAAAGTGTAATAATCATTTACTTTTTGCAACATAACAATTTTTCATTTTGTTATTTTCTCTGTTCATCACTGGATGGCAGTAGTAGGATTGTTTCCAAAGCACGCAGTAATATGAAATTGAAAATCATTGTAAAACTGATTGTTTCTCTGTACGTTATTATTACGTTCCATCAGTCAACATTTCTTTAAATTACAATCATTCAACACATATTACATAGTTACTTAACGCCTAATTAGTAACATCTAATTACAACTTTGTCCACGTTTGAAAATTATCGAGTTGACGCTAAATCGATTTAAGTATCGAAGATCCTCTATCGAAGATTAGTGTCATGGCCGCTCCAATTTTGCCGCGAATTGTTGCAGTCGCATTGTTAAGTAAGTTTCCGTTGTTTTAAGTGTTGAGTTGTTTGTTTTATCCTCAAAATCATCATTTCTGTGCCGATTATTCACAAGTAAGTGAAAACAATTACCATACATACTAGCAAACATTAATTTTCTTTTAGTCCTCTACTAAAGTTTCCTTCAAAAATATCGCGTCGCATTTCGAATGAGAGTATAACAAAAACGAAGTAACATTGCAAAATAAGTGCAAATTATGAAACATAGAGCTTGTAAATATCTATTTTATAATATAAATAACAGAGAACTAATAACATAGAAAGTCCTACGTGTTTTACACTTTTATCTGCAGACATCTTATATATATATATATTGACTGTTCTTTTAAGCTCAAGTGTTCAGGTTATATCAGAAATATACAGTTTAATGATATTTAAGTGTCTCACATAGTTGAATAACATTGGAATTTACGCCAAATTTCACAGATTACTTATAGGCAAACATTCGTATCATTTATCAATAAAATTACAACATTGACAACTCGTAATGTTAACGAACACATTGAATTATAATATTCAACCAAGCACACACATAGCATTAAGATATGTAGTCGTTCACATTTTTCCCGTGCAATCTCAAATGCATTAAAATTCCGTGTTAGGCCGTTTGGCTAACCAATCAACGATCGCAGGTATCTCGTGAACCCTTTTCTTCAATGCTCGAAGGCCAGGATAATTTTCTAAAGCTGTTGTCCCAAAAATATTTTCGAAATTTTCTAGAGCCACCGCGAACACAAAATCTGCCCAGGTTGTCTGAAAAATAACAATTTATATCATTTTATTTTCTTCTTCAAAATTATTATTTTATTTTTCCTTAACCGAAGGTCTTGGTAAATTTTTCTAAATTCCAAAATTAGTAAAGGAAACTTTCTTCATAGTAGTTTCCGTAAGAAACTCGATATAGCCTTCTTTTTATTGTCGTCTCCAAAGTTTTTACACGGACAGTGAAAATCTTAATATCAAATCCGGAAGGACAATGACTTACGGTAGAACCGACGGCGTATCCTCCATTCTCGCCCACAGTTTTCTCGAACTTGTTCAAGTAAAATGGTATCGTTTCCTTCAGAAGTTTCGCCTTCTTCTCTTCTTTCTTGAACAGATCCTCCTCTGTACGATATTGAGATATAACTGGAATATACGACGTTAAAAATATCGTTATTTATCTTTTTAGAAAGAACGTAACGAAGAAAGTTGGCGAAGTAGGGCTAACTTTTGTTGTCCAAGTAATTTTTCTGAATAACTTTTGTTATTTAGAAAACCGATTCGGTAACGTTGAATAATTACAAAAATTACAAGAATAATTACAGTATATTTGTGAGAAAAACTCAGCCTTTTTTACATCTCGTATAAAAACGAAAAAGGAGGGAAAAATATGGAAATCGCGTAGGCGTATCATTACATTATACCGTGGTTTCTTGTTGACGCTCGTTATGGTAATGGCCACGGTTAAACGGGCTATCAAAAGCACGCGTCGTTATCGCTTCAGGAAAATCTGCGATCTGCTAGCTCTGTTCAGGTGCATCAAATCGTGAATCATCAACAGATTAAAGCGAAACAGAAATAACGCAAAGATGTATGAACAAAGAAGTACATAAAAAGAGAAAAAGCAATGTATCCTCTCAGAAGACTTTGATGAGCGTTTTAATCGCAAATGATACCTTATGCTATTTCCTGCAAACGGACGATCATCGTGCCTTGGCAAATAAGAAAATTAATTTTTCTATCCTGCGAAAAAATATATGGAATTAGAAACGATACCCGTGATTCCGTTTCTTTCAATCTGTTCGGTATAAATAACGCATTATGCAAACATATGATGTTACACAATCGTGTACATATCGTAATTGAAAATTAATAACATAATCGCAACCTGGGATCTTCAATTTGTTAAACAAACTTTTCGATAACGAAGGCGTAAGAATTCTGTTTTCTGAAAAATTACAATGTTATCTGCGTTGCAATTTTAATATTTCAAGAAGAATGCATGTTTTATTCTAAATGGGGTTAAAATATTTTTTCTCCAATTTTTCGTATTACCATAAACTGTATTTATCACTGATCAGTAGGGAAAAGGGACTAGAAATCACTAGGGAATAGAAGGAACAGTGGAATCACTCACATTGCTTGAGATCCCCAAGAGTATCGACGAGAACGTCGCATTGCATCGCTTCCCATTCATCTCTTCCGGTTAGATTGTGTTTCCTGGCCAAATATCTTGCCACAGCATTGCTCTGCGATATCGGTTTCCCGTCTATCTCCAGTACAGGCAGCATTCCATAAGGCATTGCTAAGAACAAATGCTGTTAGCATCGAACAGTCTCGATCGATGGAAAATTGCGAGCAAGCCGAATACGAGTCGTGAATAGCCCAGAGAAATTATGCCGGTTTTAATCAACGCGTCCTACTAACGAAACGACTTTTTCCTTTTTTTTTTTTTTTATTCCTTCCCTTCTCTGTACTGTATATTGTGGGGTGAAAAATATTCGGTCGACTACCTCTAACCATTAAGCTATCCAGGCCAACCTGACAATTATCACCGTCCTCGACCATATCACAAGTCACTAAATACCGACGTAACGTTAAGCACCGAGGTAATTTTACTTCTGAAAATTGTATCAGTTATGGCTGCTCTTAGAGAAGCAATCTATTTTTTGAAAATTTTCAAGCGAACAGTTTTTCGCTTACATTTCTTCAATTCCGTCCACCGTTCCTTCGGGATCCTCTGGTCGACATAATCGATTCCTGCGTATGCAAATATGTAGCGAATATGCTCGGCACGACCGCGGGCGTTGAAGTAGATCAATTTGTAAGACGTTCGTCCCTCGGTCATTTTCTTTTATCCAAATATCTGTAAAGCGAAGAAAATTATTTTTCGAAAAATTTTAGCAAAAATAATCCACCTTATGGAATTAGGAAAATTGTAAAAATTCATTTTGATCATTTTTCTCGAATCAGAGGGCGTGAAAATAAGAAACAGTGAACAGACGAGCTTGTTTTCAAAAATATTTCACGAATCACTGTGGAAAATTTTCGAAACATATAACGCGAAGACGGTGGATCCACGAAATTCTCGAGCAATACAATAGTCCGGACACTTTCCGTCTTCCATCTCGAAGCAAGTAGAAAGAACGTTCTGAAAGCGGAAAATACGGGTGAACCCAGCGACCATGAGCTTTTCTCTGGCCTCTCGAAAGATTTTTCATTCCATCCGTTCCACCCTCGTAACCACCCTCTTTTTTTCGCTCGTGTATCGCAATTTCGTTCGATTTGCTCGACAACCTTCTGTGTATATATATATAGTATATATACATATACTATATAAAACATTAATAATTGTTATTTATGATACGAAAGGCGACGGAACACTTGTTGAAACATTAGTTAGAAGCCTCTTGGTGGCTTATGACATTGCGAACAGCAATGGAAGTCTCGATTTCTTTGTGTAAATTCTGATAACCACTGACGTTCTTTTCTTCCTCTGTTATTAAAATATTACCTCCTGTTTTGCATTCGCCGTGAAAGTGTCGTCAACAGCGCTGTTCTTGTAATTTTTCCATGATTCATATCAATGGAAATTAACTTCTTCAACAGATATTGTATTTCGTTTCTTTTTTTTTTTAATTTCGATCATGATTACTTGTTATAGTTACAAATGAATTTATTAAAAATGTTTCACTTTGCACCGTATCTCTTTTTATTACACGAGAGAAACGGGAATAGTCTCTTTTGGGAGGGGGTTGAAAAATGACCCAGTTAACAGGTGAACCAAAAGAAGGTGTCGATTCAAAAGTACACGGTTCTGTTTTATGATAAAAAGGGAAAAGGAAACAGTAATAATGTGGGAATCTTAAAGGAGACCTTACAGAGAATTTTCTTTTACACCAAAAATCCTTGTGATCTAAATTTCTTTATTCGATAGGAAAATTATTAGACTTCCATTTGAATAAATTGAAATTATTTTTTCAACTCTGTTATTAATTTCAAGAATTCAACTTTCCTCTTTCATTTTCCTACACGTGGTATAAAAAATTCAATTGCTACGTAATAACACTGTACGAAAGTACGAAAAATTAATTATTCGT